GGGTAACGGGAACGCTGCACCATTTTTGCAACTTTTTCAAAAGTCTAAACTTGTTTCAAAATATAAAGTTAATAAAGCTCCAGAGATTCTAGAGATCTTTCTCCCCTACAGGCTTACACAGTTTGCTTCAGGCTTTAATACGGGCCTTTGCTTATGCCTGAAAACCCCAGGGCCATGGAAGGGGCCTCCGTGGGGCTTGCACCCATCCCTCCGGGCCACTTAGGAGTCTGTTTGGCCTTCTCTGCCCGCTCTCCCACCTTGTTCTTAGGTGTGCCTCTACCTGGTAGCTGAGGCCCTGAACCTCCAAGGTGTTGGACGGGCCACTGTAGGTGAAGTACAGGCTGTTGTCACTTTCAGAGGAGAACAAGCTGTCCTGGAGGCCCTGCAGGGAGACATGACCAGGTGAGGGGCTCTTTCAGAAGCTGCCAAGGACACAGGATAAGCTGAGGGGGAGACCCGGCAGGTGAGAACAGCAGCTAGTGTGGCTGGGAACTGAATTTGCAAGACATGGGTCGGGCCAGGTGGACCCAAGGGCTGTGAGACAATGGGGCCTCGATGAGGGCACATCTCCTCTTCCTGCAGAGAGAGCTTTAGGACCGCTTCCCCCCTACTCATCCCCCCACCCCCACCCCACCGGTCCAGTTCCTGGCCCCAGAGAACCTCAACTGCAGGCTGGTGGGTGGTGAACCCAAGCAGCCCATGACGTATGAGAACTGGTCTCTGGACTGGAGGGAGTTGTGAGCCTCTGTGCTCGGGGAAGACCTGAGCTGGGAACCGTCCTTTGACTTGCTCTTCCACACATCAGACTTAGTATCTCCTAATGTCAACAGGCTTCACATACCAGCATGTGAGAGGAAAAGCGCTAGTCAGCAAGCCAATGCTCCAAGTTTATGAGGACACCATCCTTAGGAAAGTTGCATTTTATTTTGATGAGGAGTTTTGCACAACAAAGCTACTGAACAGGCTGTTGGGAGATTCAAAGGAAGTCCCTTTCTCCTCCTCCTGCTTCTCCTGCTCCTCCTTTGTCTTGCTGCTATTTTTGCTGGATTGGTGCTGTATTTGAACGTCCATCAAATCGATGTTTTGTGGTATCAGCTGATACCTTTGAATGGTACTGACAATCTGCAGATCTGAATTCCTTCTATTTTATCAATTCAATTATATAATCCCTGCAACCTAGAAAAAAAAAAAAAAACCCTGCCCAGTAAAGTTTCTGGGGTTTTTTTTTTTGTTTGTTTGTTTTGTTTTGTTTTGTTTTTCATGCATTCCAGTTTCCCTCCATTCTGTAGTGCAGAGGAAAGTACATATTCGCTAACGAGTTCCAGCTGCCTCTGGTCTGCCCTCACAGGGGCCAGTCGCACGCTGATGCATTCCTGCAGTCAATCAATCAATCAAGCATCCAACAAACACATATTGGGAGCCCACGGCATGTTTCAGGCACGGAGTCTGGGATGTGACCGCGGGACAGACAGTCTTTGAGAAGCTTAGACGTTAGCCGGTGAGACAGGTGATTAGGATGGAGCAGGACAGGTGAGGCGCAGAGGCAGGTTGACCTCAGGCAGCCAGTCAGGGTGTATTTTCACTGTGTACAAGGTGCTGTGTGGGAAAATAGCATGATGATGGTTTCTGTGAAAATAACACCAGCCAGTCTTTGTCAAAGCCTCGCTGCGATGGTGGGGGTGAGAGGTATATTCCAGAGCAATGAGTGGAAGGCGATAAGTACAGGTGACAGTCAGCGGCAGGCCCACTGCGAGTGGCCCACAGATTTCTGGGAGAGTCTGGAAACAGCAGACCATGGCCCCTTAGCTTGTTTAATGTTAGAACTAATACCATGAAGATCCTAAGTGATACAGGGAAACGTGGGAAAGATAAATAGCGCATTCGGCAGAAGCGCTATCTTTGGGGAACAGAACTGAGGGGGATGTATAAGGGAGGAGGGTGAAGGGAGTTCGGGTTCCGGGCTCCTGGAGAGAATATGAGGGCTTCACTATTCTTCCAGCTGAACTGTCTGAAATATTTCAAAATATGTTTTCAAATTGAGAGAGCTGGCCAGCGAGTAGAACTCCAGATTTCTACTCCTACCTCGACCTCCAGCTGCTAATGCCTCTAAGACATGGATGGAGGTGGAGGAGGTGAGAGGGTCTGCACCCTCAGAGGCAGAGAATGAAGCTCCTGGGAAGACCAAGAGCAGATCAGAGGGCTGCTGGATCCCAGCACGGCCCCTACCACCTCCACCACCAGCATTCGCAGTGCCTCGCTTTACCATTTACTTTTGTTACCTTACCAGAGATTCTACGGGCTAATAAGCATCCTGTCTGTTTGCTTGTTTTTAAACAGCAAATATCTGTAGGAAGGAAGGTAGTCAATAGGTATAAGACAGGAGTTAGCTCAGAAATTGCTTCTGCAAACGAACATCTGGCCCTCCCCAGGTTAGATTTCCGGGGAGAGGGGCTGCTGAGAAAGGAAACTTGGACAGTTTGGAAATCTGGAGGTGATCTCAAGCCAGGGGGGAGGGGAGAGGTCCACTTTCCAGTTAGGTAGGTGCTCCGAGGAGGTGAGGGTTCTGGGGCTCAGAGCATCCCCTGTGCCCTGGACCGGCTAGGGCAGTCCAGACCCCAACTCCCCTCAGGGGACTGTGCCTTTGGGAGCAGCATTGGCAGCTCAGCTTTCTGAAGAAGAGAATCTGTGGCCTCTGTCCCATTTGAAGTATTTTCCTTGGCTCCCAGGAAGGATTTGTGAGGCTCTTCCTGAGGTTTTGACAAACGCGCTGTATTTTTCAAATACTTAAATATCTACTTGGCTGACATCTTAATCAGTACGACTGTCAGAACATCACTTGAATTTCTGACAGGTGACACCCAAAAAGCAAAAGCGGGTTTATTTGTAGGTAACCAGCTCGGCTCCTGCTGGGCTACACTGTAATTTCTCCTTCTATTAACTTCTGATCGAACTCCTCAGTCGGAGCACAGAGAGGAAAGAGACTGGGAGCACAGAGCACAGGGTCCTTGTCCTGAGATGAGGAGCCCGTGGCCTGGACAAGCAGCGATGTGCAGAGGAAGCATGCTGAGGATGCACACAGGCTTTGTTATTGGCGGAGGGGAACAGCCAGGCTTTTTCTAAAATGTCCCGCTCAGGCCTCACACAGCTCTGCCCGGAGGCCTGGGCCCCTCTCACCCTCCTCTGCTCAGGGTCCTGCCCTCGGACTGAGGCGTCTGTGGCTGAGGACACTGGCCACCCCGCGTACCAGGGCCCCAGAATTTCCTGTGTGAATGACCGCAAGTGCACGCTCAGGGCCTGTGTGGACCTTGCCCAGGCCCCTCCTCCTGACGGACAGTACTGCCCAAATGGCCATCCCCGGCCACGGGGGCATCTGTCTGTGGAGAGTGTTTCTGGAATGGGTGTGGGCAGGGTGGGTGTGTGAGGTCACGTGTGGAGCTGGGGTGGGCAGAGGAGGCAGACAGGCTGTGGGTTGGGTTGGAAGGTGGTTTCCCTGTGCCAGTACATTCTAGTTGTTCCTCCAAGAAGTCCTAGAATTTTTATTTTTAATTGATTGATTTTTAAAGGGGGGGGGGGGGAAGGGAGACAGAGAGAAAGAAGGAGCGGGAGGGAGGGAGAGAGAGATTTGATGCATTCCTTGGTTGATTCTTGTTTGTGTCTTGACCGGGGACCAAACCGGAAACCTTGGCTCATCGGGATGATGCTCCAACCAAATGAGCCCCCTGACCAGGGCTGAAGTCCTAGAAGTTTTAAATTCGCACCCGGCATTCCAGGTTGTGGGGAAGGTCCATGAAGGTACGAGGATAGAAACTATTTTCTATTTAATAGTTTTTAGCTTAACAACTTTAAAATGTCTAGACGTAGGATATGTAGCCCTCATCTAGTGGTTCTCTTGGCGCCCGAGTGACAGGATCGGAGAAGAGAGAATGGGAGCCACAGATTCCTGCCCGCACTCCTGGAGGCCAGCTTCCTGAGCCATGGTGGCTGCACTGTCAGACCTCTAGGTCCTAGGACAATGTCAGCCACCGCGGAGTCTGCATCCTGGTCAGGCTGTGAGCACGGCAGTCACGGTTCCTGGGAGTCATTTCCTGTTGAGCTCAGCCCGGTGGGTTTTCCCAGAGCACAGCTGGTCATCTGCAGTGGCGGCGAGCTCACCAGAATGGTGGGCCCCGGTGGGCCTGGCTCAGGTCAGCAACTCAAGACTGTGGCCTTCCCCTTGGTGTGTGGCATCCTCAGTGACTCCCCTCTCTCCCCCTCGTCCCCAGAGCAGGCAGGCACAAAAAGGGAGGGCGGGGATTGGTATCCTTTCAGCCTTCCCAGTCAGCCTCCGGCTTCAGATCCTGCCCATGCCCTGATTTTAATCAAAGGCCATTTCTCAAGTAAGCGTTTCTTACATGGGCCCCAGCCTCTCGGCCCCTGGCTGTCGCCTGTTCCTCCCAGCTCTCTCTGGGGTAGCACGGCTGCCTGCTGTAGCCACATTTTGAGCATAAATCCGGATGTTCCCACAGACGTCACCTGCCATCCGGTCTCCTGGGTTTCCTGCTGCAGGGATTCCCAGCTCGACTCCCAGGAAATGGGGTCCAGCTGCCTCGGCCTCACTCCACTCACTATCGCTTGTGGACAGAAGGTTCCCGAGGGAGGAGAATAAGGCCCAGCTCACCCCCACCCAGCAGGACGGAGGTGACGCCCCATCACTCACCGAGGCGTCCTGGGGAGCAGCCCCGGTCCGCAGCCCTCTGTCCTCGGGGGCCGTCTCAGCCATGGGGCCCGGGCAGCGTCGGCGGCGTCCCTGGCTGCGATTCCTTGGGACCTTAGCTGCCACCTGCCAGCGTCACTGTTTTCTCTCTGTCCCGCAGCGAAGCAACCTCTGGCCCTCGCTGTCTGGCTCCCAGCATGCCTCTCTGGCCAGCCTCCCCGCAAGCACAGCATGTGTGTCCTGCCCACCGCCGAGATAACACACGACTCTGGCTAAAGGTACATCAGATAATGCCGCCGTGGCCAAGCCCCTTCCCGCTGCGGGGCAGGCCGAGCCAGGGACTCGGGGCCAGGTGAGGAGCCGGCGGGCCGTCAGCTGCTGGCTCCTCCGCCCAGGCCACTCCGGGAGGTCAGGCCCCAGAAAACCCTCCGTCTCCGCTGCCCGGTGACCATGAGTGAGCTCCCGGCCTTGACCCCCGTGGGGGCCTCAGGACTCCAGCTAAGCAAAGGCCCCGGGGGCTCCTCGGAGGAGGTCCCTGCGGCTGCATCTAAGCCTCGGCACAGCCTGGGCGTCTTCCATGCCTCCTACAGCGTCAGGTAAGGCGGGCATGGTCCGGGGCGCCGGCCCGCTCACCCCTCTGCTGGCCTCTCGCTAATGGGGGGCATGTTTGGGGGCTTGGGCTCCCTCCTCAGTGGATGGAGGTGGAGAGAAGGGAGGGAAGGGCTGCCGGTGATAAAGGAGGAACGAGGGAGCACGGCCCCTCCTCCTGCCAACAGGACCTGGCAGCTATGCCAGACACGGCAGCTGTGCCCTGCCTAGTGCCCCTGTGCCCCCGTGCCCCTTGCCGGCTCCCATGTGTCCCCCTTGTGTACGACCTGTTGGATGTGGATGGAGAGTGCTTGGGGATCAGGGGGTGCTTGCAACAGGAGGTGCAATGAAGACTGGTGAGAAAAGGCAGGGTCAGCCGAAGGGATAAGCAGCGTGCTGCCTGCCACCTCCCAGCCCGGCCAGAGAGCCGAGCGCAGAGCAGCTGCCGGCCGGTGCTTTCCAGAGGGGATCCTTGACTGCCACTTGCCAGGGTCCGCAGAGGAGGACACTGAGGCTGAAGCACCCTTAGCACCGTGTCCAGACATCACTGGCATCAGTGCTGGGGGACAGTGTGGCCCCTTCCAAGGCCCCACTCTGCTTTCCCCTTTAAAGCTATCGCGTCGGGCCCTGGTGGGACATCGCATCTCGCCGGCAGCGGTGGAACAGGCAGATCCTCAAAGACGTCTCCTTGTACGTGGAGAGCGGGCAGATCATGTGCATCTTGGGGAGCTCAGGTAAGCGTGAGGGCGAGGAGCGCTCTGAACTCTCGCTGGGAATTCAGGGAAGGCTGTGTGGCTTGAGTTGACCACCACCTCGAGGAAACAGGCTTAAGCTGTGGCAGAGTTCCTAACAAGTGTGATATTGGAATGAAATCTAGTGCCACGTCTGACTGTGAATGCAAGCGACCTGGTACTCACTCATGTGAGATATTTAGACAGATCCTTGGAAAAAGGCCTGCCTAACATGTAGGTTCATTCATATTTCTTTTTCTTTTTTTTAATGTATTTTTATTGACCTCAGAGAGTAAGGGAGAGGGAGAGAGAGAGATAGAAACATTAATGATGAGAGAGCATTGTTGATCAGCTGCCTCCTGCATGCCCCCACCTGGGATTGAGCTTGCAACCCAGGCATGTGCCCTGACTGGGAATGGAACTATGACCTCCTGGTTCATAGGTTGACGCTCAACCACTGAGCCACACCAGCTGGGCTAACTTTCCTTTTAATAATTATAACATACTTCTTTAAAAAGAACCAAAGCTGTTATTTCTATAATAACTTGTCGCTTGTTGCCTCGCTGGTGTAGGATAAAAGCGGGCGGCATGTAGCACACAGCCGGGAATTGAACCCACCTTCTCAGAGGTGTGTCCCACAGGCCAATATGATGGCTCATGCACATCTCAGGGGGACAGTGGGTGGGGTTCTTGGTCTGGGGCTCATGGGCTGGTTCCTGATGACACCTAATTGTGGTTTTACGACAGTGTCCATCCTCTCATGCTGAGCATGGATTCTCAGTAGGTGCAGGTTCCGCAGGAGTGGGAGGTCTCTCCTTCTCTTCCTGCTCTCTCTTCAACGACTAGGACAGGGCTGGGCCCAGAGTAAGTGCTTCATAAATATTTGCTGAATGAATAGATAAGCAAATGAATCCATGTTATGAATTACTCTTAGTGTTTCATAAAATGACATGATCTCATTATCTAAAGCAGCTTTATTTATTAGATCTTTATTAGTGAGGCACAAAGATGGCTTCGGTGTTCAAAGTCTCACTAAAGAATGGTCAAGTACAAGTTTGCCTCGGGTCCCCCAATGCTCCAGGGAAAGGAACTCCATTTGCTATCGATTGGGACGTAGATTCTGTGCTGCATGTTCCCTCGAAGCAGACTAGTTACAAACGATTTCCATCCTCTTAGACAAGATAACCCCAAAGGTCATGGTTTTATTGCCCCATACAGCATTAACCTTTTTTGGGGTTTTTGCCCCTTTTTATTGTAATAAAATATACATAATGGAAAATGGCACATCCTAATCATTTTTAAGTGCCCAGGTCAGTGGGATCAAATATCTAGGGTGTCCCCCAAAAAATGTTAACACACACTTTGAATAACTAGAAAGGCAGCGTTTATTAAAATACACTTATTTTTCAGAATTTAGCTATCCGCTGTTAAAGTGTGTTTACATTTTTGGGGACATCCTGTGTTTGCAGCATTGTGTAACATTCGGGGAAATGCCCGCTGTGTATGTCAACAAGCAAGTCGCCTTGATGACGGACCGCGGGGAGGCCGGCTTTGATGTAGTGATGGGACTGGCATCCAGGCTCCTGGACACTCAGAGCTTCTGTCGGAACTGAGATTGGGCCCCAGAACTGTAAGGCCAGGCAGGCTTCCAGCTAGAGATGCACATGCAAGGCCAATCAGGTGACTGGGACATTTCAGGGCACCTTATTGGGCCTTGAAAGACAGCCCCTATGAAGTCACCTTTGTTTCTTTGCAATCACTCTCCTCTCTCCCCACATTAATCTCTACTCAAACAGGTTGGGGCCAATTCTGAGCTTGGTCAGTCCTTGGGTAGAAAAGAGGATGACTCTATGGGAGTGTGGCTTCTTCATCTTTGTATCCCTCCCTCCCCCCAAGCAACAAGCAGTTTCCTTACAAATATTTGAACCAAAGATCTTCTCCTTAGGGTTGTACAAGCCACCCCATTCAGGCAGCTTGTCCACAATAGCTCTTGGTGGGAAAGTTCTGAGCAACAGCCTGCTGGGTTAGGCCCGAGGCTGAGGCCAGCACGGTTTCATCAAGAACTCACTAACTTAGTGCTTTTCACACGCTAACATGCCTGGGATGTACCCAGGGATCTTGTGTTAAAAAGCAGCACCTGAGTCAGCGGCTGTGGGCGGGGCCTGAGAGCCCGCACGTCTAACGAGTGCCCTGGTGATGCCGATGTGGCCGGTCCTCAGGACACCCTGGATTAGCGGGGTTCCAGGCAGTGTCCCCTACTTTTAGGAGCCACCTGACGATCCCAGGGGGCCACAAAAAGAAATCCAGATATCTTAGGACCAAATGTTTCAACAACAACAACAAAAATCCTGGTTTTCCTTTTACTTTGAACGTACGTTTGTCTTTTTCAATGGGAACCGGCTTTAAAAGCAAACACACAGGAAAGACCAGGATGAGAGAAGTGGCTGTGCCTCCTGCCACTCAGGCGACAAGCAGCACAAGCTCATTCGCGCCACCAGATTTTTGCTCAGGAGAGAACAAGTCAGGGTGGACCCTGGCTGGCCCGCCGAGGCCTTGGGGAGCCCCTGGCTGCCTGTGGCAGGGCTCCCCCAGGGCCTCCTCTGCTCGCCCGCAGGCTCGGGGAAGACCACGCTGCTGGACGCCGTGTCGGGGCGGCTGCGGCGCCGGGGGACCCTGGTCGGGGAGGTGTGCGTGAACGGCCGGGCGCTGCGCAGGGACCAGTTCCAGGACTGCTTCTCCTACGTCCTGCAGGTGGGCACGCACCCCCCCTCCCCCGGCCCGGGCCCCGGGGTGCGGCCGCGCTGACCCTCCTCTCCCGATGCCTCCTCCCCGCAGAGCGACACGCTGCTGAGCAGCCTCACGGTGCGGGAGACGCTGCGCTACACGGCGCTGCTGGCCGTCCGCGGGGCCTCCCGGGCCTTCGTCCAGAAGAAGGTGGGTGCCGCCCGGCAGCCTGCCCGGCAGCCCAGGGCTTCCCAGGCCCCCCAGCAGGGGCACCGAGGGGCTCACCCCCACTGGCTTCGCACCAACTCTTTCCTCCATTCCCCGCTCTTCCCTCGTCACAGCCTTTCTTTTTTCTTTTCTTTTTTTAAATATATTTTTTATTGATATTTTACAGAGAGGAAGGGAGAGAGATAGAGAGCTAGAAACGTCGATGAGAGAGAAACATCGACCAGCTGCCTCTTGCACACCCCCTACCGGGGATGTGCCCGCAACCAATGTACATGCCCCTGACCGGAATCGAACCCGGGACCTTTCAGTCCGCAGACCGACGCTCTACCACTGAGCCAAACCGGTTTCGGCACAGCCTTTCTTTTTGAATCTAGACCTGCACTGCCCAGTGTGGCAGCCGCTGGTCCCACGTGGCTTTGAGCACATGAAATGTGACAGGTCCTAACTGAGGTGTGGGGTGAGTGTGCCATACACAATAAATTTTTAAAAACAGTCTGAGAGGAAAAAAATACCCAGAACACGCTGGTTTATTCATGCATGTTTAACCTCCCCCTACTGCTTTGTATCTGTTTAGATGTGTTCCTCCTTTTGGTCAAAGCTGTGTCTACGCTGCTGATCCCACCCCTGTGTCCTCTGGAACACTGTTCCCTAACTCACCGCCTTTTACTGCAATCTAGTGTGTGTGTGTTTTTAATGCATATTTTATTGATTTTTTACAGAAAGGAAGAGAGAGGGATAGAGAGCTAGAAACATAGATGAGAGAGGAACACCGACCAGCTGCCTCCTGCACACCCCCACCGGGGATGTGCCCACAACCTAGGCACACGCCCTTGACTGGAGTCGAACCTGGGACCCTTCACTTCCGCAGACCATCACTCTATCCACTGAGCCAAACCGCTTTCGGCTTGTTTGTTTCTTTAACACAGTGCTTTCTTTTTTCGTTGTAAAAGTAGCACAGTCTCAGAGCTATAGGGGAACAAAGCTCACTGCCATATAAATCGCTGTTCTCAGTTCATTCTTTCTGCTTTGCCCTCAGAGGGGGACTGGGTAAGGGGAGAGGCAGAACTAGAGATCGTTGGAGGGTCTCTGGAGAGGGGACAAGCTCAGGGAGAAAGGAGAGGGAGGGAAAAACCACCACCTTGTGATTAGAGAGTCAGTAAGGAACCTTTTTGGTTGTGGGGAGCTGAGAATGCGGAGTAAGGAGAGGTTTCGGGGAGCTGCAGGGTGTGAGATAAGCAGACTGAGGAGAATTGGGGGGAGAGGACGTTTTAAGAAGTGTGGCTGTGGGTTATAAGCTGAGTCCCCCTTTAAGTCCTTAAAGAGATTCAGGTAAAGATTGGCATTCCTTTTCGTTGCTTTCGATAGCGGGATTATATAGTTCTTTGATGCAAAGCCGCCCAGAGATCGGACCACAGGGGACTCCTGGTCTTATTTGGGTTACGTAAGGGAAATCAGGTTTACTTCAGACCAAATGGGATTTTAAAAATCTAGCAAAGTTTCGAAAACCAAACATGAAAGGGACAAGCTGTGTTGTGGCTGTGCCTTTGGGGGACTTTTCTCTGTGGGTTGGACTGCCTGCCTCTCTGAAAATAGGCATCCAGGGACAACTCCCCCATCTCCTGGGGAATTTCTCAGAAGCAGTTGTTGCTCTAAGGACTTTTTTTTTTTAAAGGCAATTCCTCTTATTTATTTTAATCAGCTGCGTGGATTATGTTGTGATTAGAGCCAAGTTGGATTTTCCTGCGATAGACCCGCTCTCCCTGGGTGGTGAGGCTGAAAGCGGCCTCTGCTGCCCCCCTCAGGCTGAGGATGGAATAGCAGCCCGCGGTGACCAGCCTTCCTGGGCTCTGTCCCACAGGTGGAGGCGGTCATGGCCGAGCTGAGCCTGAGCCACGTGGCCGACCAACTGATTGGCAGCTACAACTTCGGGGGCATTTCCACCGGCGAGCGGCGCCGGGTCTCCATCGCGGCCCAGCTCCTCCAGGACCCCAGTAAGTGGGACCCGAACTGCCACGAGCTGCTCCTGTGGGGCCTTCCACCTCAGGCCCTTGCTTTCTTCCTATTAGGCCCTTTCCCCACAGGCTCCATTTGCAAAGGGGCTTGCACAGGTGTTTCCAACCAAAGACCCAGTTTTCTTGAAAGTCCTATGTGGTTCCTGATACTCTTTCCTCATCCAAGTGATCAGACAGCTCTGGGACTCAGAAGCACTCATTTGTGTTTTGATGGTCACTTAGGGGATCCTGCCCTGTGCACCCCCCACTTCCTCCAGGAGCAGTACCACTATGTCTGCTGTGTAAGCCCTGAGCTTTGGTGGGACTGGAAGTATGTATGAAATGGCAGGAATTAAAACAGGATGTGGAGGCATACACTTAAAAGTGATTGGGTTGGGGGAGCTATCAAAATGGGTAGCTTGTCACCTGGCTCCCCTGGCTGGTTTGGTCACTCTCCCCATCACCCGGGGAGGCGGGACCTCTACAGAAACCTGGGAGAGCACACATTGCCTCTGGATACTTTTTCTGCGGGGGGAGAGGGGGGGGGGGGGGGGGGGGGAAAGAGACCACAACTGCCTGTCCTCCCAATGGTGCCAAATCACTTGAAGGCAAAGAAGAGAGATGCTCTTAAGAGCCCTTGCCACTTTTGGGATAGAAATAAATGACAGTTTAATCCTTTAAAAAATCCAAACTCGCCCTGGCTGGTTTGGCTTATTGGTTAGAGCATCAGCCTGTGGACTGAGGATTCCCCGTTCAATTCCGGTCAAGGGCGTGTACTTCAGTTGCAGGCTCTTTTCTGGCCCAGCCCATGTAGGAAGCAACCAATCGATGTGCTTCTCTCACATGGTGCCATGCCAGCCTGCCAGCCCTGCCCTCTCAGGGTCCCCCAGACGGAGCCCAGTGGTCCACATAACCATGTGCGAGCGAGGCGTGGTCTGGCTGCTGCTCTGCTCCCTCAAGGATCACGCCTGCAGTATGCTCCGGAGCTGGGAGTGAGGTCCCCCTAGGCCGGTCCTTTCTCCCGGGCTCAGGCTGAAAGACAGCTTACATGCAGGTGCACTGACTGGATGGGTGCAACAGCCGGAACCGTTTAAAATGCCGAGTGACTGACGCCTGCCCCTTCTTTGCCGGCAGCGATCATGCTGTTTGATGAGCCGACAACAGGCCTGGACTGCATGACCGCAAACCAGATCGTCGTGGCCCTCGCAGAGCTGGCCCGCAGGGACCGCATCGTGATCCTCACCATCCACCAGCCCCGTTCCGAGCTCTTCCAGGTGAGGGCACATCTCGTGTTCCCGCTGAGCTCGCCCAAGGTGGTGCATGCGTGTGTGTGTGTGTGTGTGTGTGTGTGTGTGTGAGCGTGTGTGGTGCTGAGGAGCACGGGTAGAGATTAGTTAGTACTCACCACCCAGAGCAGCTGGAGCCAGTAGCTTCCGATATGGGAAGGGCAAAGGAAGGAAGCTCACTTCCTTCAGCACCTGCTCATTTGACCCACACGACCATCCCGTGAGGGTGTGTCAGTCTTTCTACTTTACAGAGAAGAGTGAGGCTTAGAAATGATACAACACTGAGCCATGGTCACACAGTTAATAAGAAGCTGGAATTAGAAGTCCACTTGGCTTCAAAGACTGTTTTGTGTGCTTTCCCCCCGACTAAATCAGTTTTGTTTTTCCCCCCCAAATTTCAATTTATCCTCCCGGGATCCTTTTAGGGATCTATTATTTGCCTTTTGTAGATGAGGATCTAAGATTTAAAAAATAAATAAATAAATTTGTCCAAGGTGACTCATTCACTCAGTAACTCGACTGGGACTCAAAACCAGGTCCATTGATCAGATCCAAGTGTGATGCTGGGCACAGGCTGGATGCTCAAGGGTACCCACACCGAACAGAATAGGGGTGCATTTTGCGTGTCTCCCTGGGGTGCGGTAAGAATACTGATGCATGGCTGAGGCCATCGAAGGACGGACTGCTTGGGACTGTTCTCACAAGGGTGTGCTGACTTGATTACGCACTGATAACCATCTGTTGTCCAATCAGCTCTTTGACAAAATCGCCATTCTGAGCTTCGGAGAGCTGGTTTTCTGCGGGACACCGGGGGAAATGCTTGAGTTCTTCAGTGGCTGTGGTTACCCTTGTCCTGAACACTCAAACCCGTTTGATTTCTATAGTAAGTTTTTCCTTCATAGTCCCCACCATGAGAAACAACTTCATCATCCCAGATTTCTCTGGACAACACCAGCACTGGATTTATTTTTGCTTTTGTTTGAGTGTTTTTAATCCTCAAGAAATTAATTTGGCTGGGTCAGTGAACTTGCCAAAACCTCTCAGAATTAAATGGGGGATCTCTTTTAAATTGGGCATGCCTTCTTTGTCGAGAAAAATCTGCTGAGCTTCTGAATTCTTCCATACAATCTCCATGGGGTCCTTATGGCCCTGGTGGTAGTTTTAACACAGTCTGATTTTAAAGGTGGGCATTAACAACAGGTATTATTCTGGCGGATGAAGATTACAGCTAGTACTCCTAGACCAGTGGTTGGCAAACTCCTTAGTCAATAGAGTCAAATAAATAGTACAACGATTGAAATTTCTTTTGAGAGCCAAATTTTTTAAACTTAAACTATATAGGTAGGTACATTGTTATTAACTTAATTAGGGTACTCCTAAGCTGGCCTTTGCTAAAAACTCAAGGGGCCAAAGAGCCGCATGTGGCTCTCGAGCCACAGTTTGCCGACCACTGTCCTAGACCAATGATGAAACCTAGAATATTAGCCATTGTGTATGAATGTGCATTTAAAAACACATGGGTTATTTCTTTTGGGAAAATATTTTAGTGGACCTGACATCAGTGGATACCCAAAGCAAAGAACGGGAAATGGAAACCTACAAGAGGGTCCAATTGATTGGATCCGCCTACAGAGAATCGGCAATTTACCACCAAACCTTGGAGACTATCGAGAGAACAAAACACCTGAGAACATTACCAATGGTTCCCTTCAAAACCAGAGACTCCCCTGGAACGCTTTCTAAACTGTGTGTCCTTCTGAGGTGAGAGACTCACCCCATTTTAGGTGCTTCCATCCACCCACCAAAGAATGGGAATTAAAACGGGGTTGTCTTTCAGGAGAGTGACGAGAAACTTAACGAGAAATAAGCTGGCAGTGGTTATGCGTCTGGTTCAGAATCTGATCATGGGTTTGTTCGTCATTTTCTTCCTTGTACGCGTCCAGAACGATGTGCTCAAAGGTGCTCTCCAGGACCGCGTGGGTCTCCTGTACCAGTTTGTGGGTGCCATGCCGTACACAGGCATGCTCAACGCAGTGACTCTGTGTAAGTGCCCTGCCCAGGAGGTGCCGCCCTGGGGCCAAGGGAGGGGGAGCTCCTCTCTCCCTGAATATCTCCCATCACCTTGCAAGACTCCACCATTAGCAGGATATTTCTCTGAGCTCAACCTGGCCTTCTCCAGATTCTCTCTCTGGGGAAAAGCAACTACTGAACTACTCACTCTTACTTAGTGTGTTCAACCAAGTGCATGTCTGAGGGTCCCTGAGGACCCAGGGAAATGTAAAGTATGAGGTACTGATGGGCAGGGTTTGGGAATATTATCCCTGGTGTCCTATCTTGGCCGGTAAGATGTGCAGTCCAGGGGGCCCAGATACCTGGCCAACTTGGTGCTACTACCTTCGGTTCGAAGCCCATTTTAGGACAGCCAGAACCTAATTTTCCAAGTCAGTGGGGATTCAGAAGCAACACCTAGTTGCTTGATGCTCTGTGCCAAGGTCCTGCACAGAGAGAGGACAAAGAGGCTCTCCTCAGTCATTTGTGCCCCTTTTGCATGAATGTTATTGAACTGGTGACACCGCTCCCCCCACAGTAGGGAGAAGGAAGTAAATTATGACAAATTTGCAACCGTATGGTCATTCAGATCAAGTGTAGACTTCTAGGGTGGAGTTAACTCCCTGGGTAGCAGCGCCGCTCTTTCACTAACTTGAGAGCCCAGCTGGTCCTCACGATCCAGCTCCAGAAGACCTCAAGTGCAGCTTGGGCTAGCTCTCCCTCCCTCCCACCGCTGTGTGGTGACCGACTGTTCTGCAACCTGCCTTCTGTGCCCAGTTCCTGTGCTGCGAGCGGTCAGCGACCAGGAGAGCCAGGACGGCCTGTACCAGAAATGGCAGATGCTGCTGGCCTATGTGCTGCATGCCCTCCCCTTCAGCATCATCGCCACCATGATCTTCAGCAGCGTGAGCTACTGGTAAGGGGTGTGCGCCGACCTCCTGTGGGCCCAGCCAGCCAGTGGGACCCAGAGGGGGGGGCCAGGGTTCCAGGCAAGAGAGCCCTGAGGTTCTTCGTACTTTCCCATCGGCACTGCTGTTTGGTAGGAATATTAATATTAACGTGCTTGATGACTGGTGGAGTCCCAGATCCCACTACGGCAAGTGTGGACTACACAGCGTCAAACCTCCCCCAAATCTGTAAACTGCCACATACCAAAACACATCTGGCCCTAATGTGCTTCAAATAATGGGATATGGCCGGCACCGGTTTGGCTCAGTGGATAGAGCGTCGGCCTGCGGACTGAAGGTCCTGGGTTCGATTCCGGTCAAGGGCATGTACCTTGGTTGCCGGCACATCCTCAATAGGGGGTGTGCAAGAGGCAGCTGATCAATGATTCTCTCTCATCGATGTTTCTAACTCTCTATCCCTCTCTCTTCCTCTCTGTGAAAAATCAATAAAATATATTTTAAATAATAATGTGGTATGGACATAAGCAAATCTTCAAATAACTTTAATTCATAAAGTTTAAGATTAGTATTACAAGAGAGCACAAACACCATGCTAAGGAATATAATAAAAATAATAGTAATAGCTAACCTATCGAGCCCTTGCTTTATGACAGGCACTGAGAGCTTTAAATACAATATATTATTTCATGTCATCCTTGCAGCCATTCTATGAAGGTGATATAATTATCCTTGTTTGTAGGCAGGGAAACTGAGGCATGGTGGCCTCCCTCATCGCACACCCTTTATCCCAAGTTAATCACAGATGAGACCAAGAGTCTACTTGGTTGGGTGAGGGGAGGGGCTCTTGGAGGCTTGATGGAGGAGAATTTGAGAGACAGCAGCATTTCAACAGATGGAATCAGAAACAAGGGCCTAGCAGGGGAAGGAGCAGCAGGGGCGTAGGTTCAGAAGCAAAAACACGGAAGAAATTTCCGTTGCATTGTGGGGAATGAAGGGTTGGGAGAAGTCACGAAAAATCTGACTGCTGGCCTTAGAGCCCAGAAGGGGAGGTGCTGAATGCCAGGCTAAGGGGCTGAAGTGGATTTGATAATGGGACATGGCAGAGGTTGAGTGAATCCTAACATTAGGGTAGTAGGCTAGCTTGGGGAGGAGGGGTGCTAGCAAGGCAGAACGTGGTTATTTATGGAGAAGCCAGGAGAGTCCAATACCCCTAACTCATTGTAGTTGGCTGTGACTCTTCCTCTGAGAGCCGAAGGAGCCATAAGAGGGAAAAGGCTCTCATTGAGTTGGAGCCAACAGAGACAACTGGCGATAATAAGTGGTCTCAAATGCTAGCTCTGTTCCCAAAGGCCTTTCAAAGGGGAGTCTGACTTGCCTGCAAACTCTTCTCTACCACTCACAGCCACGAACTCATTCATAGAAGGCAAGCATGGTATTTTTCTTAAATGATAACCCTTGGAGAGAAACTAAAGACCCTGTGTGTTTTTAGGACTCTGGGCTTATACCCCGAGGCTGCCAGATTTGGATATTTCTCTGCTGCTCTCCTGGCCCCCCACTTAATTGGTGAATTTCTAACTCTCGTGCTACTTGGAATGGTCCAAAACCCAAATGTGGTCAACAGCATAGTGGCTCTGCTCTGCATCACTGGGGTGCTGGTGGGATCCGGACTCGTAAGGTAAGCTACCACACGTCAAAGGATTTAGGTTGTATGACTTGTTGTTAATGATCAGCTGACAGTGATTATTATTGAGAAATTCCAGCGAAGGGCTGTGACACTAGTTAAAGGTATCACCTTCTAGTCTGGGGTTTTATAGTGCTTGCTAATCATTATTGCATAGACCTTAAACTGTTCAGTATTTGTTCAATAAGGTGTCTTCACACTGAGAATCAGGAAATGACAATTTAGGCTTGTTATCAATATGATTCACAGGTATAAACCATTATAATAACAGGAAGAAAAACAGTCCAGAAAAACCCACAGTCCATGTTATAAGCTAAATAACATGCATTTAGTTCATGTCTGCTTCTGCATTGGCGAGTCTCTATTCCAGTCCCCAGCCCTCACTTTCTTTTTTTTAAAAAAATTAAAAATATTTTATTGATTTTTTACAGAGAGGAAAGGAGAGAGATAGTTAAAAACATCAATCAGCTGCCTCCTGCACACCCCCCACTGGGGATGTGCCTGAAACCAAGGTACATGCCCTTGATCAGAATCGAACTTGGGACCTTTGAGTCTGCAGGCCGACGCTCTATCCACTGAGCCAAACCGGTTTTGGCTCACTTTCTTTTAGAAAAAAGAAGCAGGTGAGAAGAGAGCCTGTGGGATCACAGACTGCAAGCAAGCATCAGAACTAGGACACACAACGAAAGTTAACGGCAATTAGCTCTCGGTGACATATTTTTATTTTTTTCCTTATATTTTGTGAATTTTCTATACTGGACAGGCATCATTTTATAACCAAGAAAAAAATATATAAGTAAAAAAAAAGCATATACAATATAATTTTTTATATTAAAAAGATATAAACAGAATAATATAAAAATAGTCTAAATAAAAAGGAGATAAATACATGCAAAAGTAGTAGCAGAAATAAGGGAAAAGTTTAGAAGGTTAAAAGTGATTCCAGGCAAGTGACATAAGTAGATCTAATAAGTAAAAGGGAGGAAAAATGGAGATGTTGTTTTTTTACTTAAAAATAAAATAAACAAAAAAGCTGCATTATATTTGCTTGTTTAGTTATTTAACTCTCAGAGCAATTGCGTTCAGGGAGAAAACTAACCTCAGACCTAGCTCAGCTCCAGCTACAACGCTGTGGCTCCCTAAGAGAGGACTGGCCCTGGAGTCAGAGACTTCCTCCACCTCCTCACTGCCAGTGGCCCTGGGCAAGTCAGTTTGCTCATTTACGAAGTGGAGCCAGCTGCCATTGGATCATGAGAAGCAAATAACAATATGAAAACACGTCATATGCTGTAGGGAGTTATACAGAGGTGAGGTATTATAAAGCGAAATGAGCTGCAGATTGATCAGTCACAGAGGTGTTTTTTTTTCCTTTTTTTTTTCTTTCTTGTTTTGTTTTTAAAATAACAACGCTATTGCGTTGTATTTGTCTATGGTGCTTAGGTTGATCCCTAGCATTTGTGAAAAATACACAAATCAAATCATCCCAAGGTCACAGAATCAAGCCTGCAAAGTATAGACCCAACCTTGAGCAGATTCTTCTGCTTCATATTTCTATCATTACTGGTTCCAATCAATCTGGCAGTATTTCATGTATTTGGTTTGTAGGAAAAGGGGATTAATTATTCTTAAAAGAGAGACAGTGGCCAACATTAACAAATGCTCTTAGGTTCTTGGCAAAATCTCAGCTTCCCAACACTTTACCTGGGTTCCACTGCCATCTTGAAATTCTCTCTGCTCTTGAAAACCACATCAACCTCCCAGTCCTTATGTTTATATTTTTCCCTCAAGTCATCATCTTTCCTGGCTGAGTGCCTGCAGCATTAGAGCGTTTGGCTGCCTTTCCCTTTAAACACAATTGGAAATACTTTCACGGTTGTTCTCACTTACAAAATCATGCAAGTTCTCAGGGGCGGGGGATGCAAACCATACCGAAATATTGTAAGGAAAACAGTAAAAGTTACCTAAAGTATCACAATCCAAAGTTAAATTTGGTTGTGTATCTTGCTAGACATTTATGTAATTTTTAATAAAAATGAGATCATACTATTGTAAAGGGAAAAAGGATGCATGCTTTTCCCCCATTTAACAATATAATGTGGGCAGTGCCATATCAATACATTTAGATCTGTGGTTCCACTCTCTTGAAAGTACTCCAGAACTTCTATGCCAGCCTGGTTCTCTTCCTATGCCCCTTACTGTCCCATTGGTCTCCTCTGCCACCTGCACGAAGCCTGCCCATCATTTCCTTGACTAGGTGAGCTCTCCCTCTATTTTCTCTGAGACTCGTGTTGCAGTCTTCTTTTAATAGACTGTCAACCCTTGAGGGCAGCATCTGTGTCTCATTCACCATGATGGCTCTTCTCAGTGACCACACCAGTTAGGTTTGCAAGTTATATTTGAATTGTGTGAACAAACTCTCCCTGCTTACTCTCTCCATCCTTTCACCTTGTATGGTAGTTTAGTTCTTCACACACTACACTCTAAAGTACATTTAATCACAGAAAACCTTCTCTAATGTGACGTGCACTAGGTATGCTTTTTAAAAAATATATATATTTATATCAATGGTGTTTACCAAATATTAAACACCAATCCATCATCGGGATTGATTGTTAAATGAAGGTTTCTACTATAATCAACCACCAAGCTGTGACTTAAAATGTTAAAATGCTATGCCTATTGACTTGGAAGGATGTTTGAGGCATGTTTGCTTGAAAAACAGCAGGTTAGGAAAGGGCATGATTCCATTTATGTAAAGAGTTTAATTCCACTTATGTAAAATCTTATAAATGCACATACACATGTCACATGTATCACCAAAATGTGAACAGTAGTTATTTCTGGGCAGTGGTATTTCTTTATACTCTCAGTATTGTTTGACATTTTTATAGTAAGCACTGTTTTTATAATAAGAGATGAAAAACTGTGTTGGCAAACATAAAACAAGGGTTGCCTTTCTTTCATTTGGCCGGACTATTGCCAAAGCCTACTGAATTTCACCTCTCTTTTTTTCTTAAGGAACATACAAGAAATGCCCATTCCTTTTAAAATCTTCACTTATTTTACATTCCAAAAATACTGCAGTGAGATTCTTGTGGTCAATGAATTCTATGGACAGAATTTCACTTGTGGTAAGTATTTTATTTTGGAATATTATTTGTACATATCACTCCGAGGAAGCAACTTCCGGAGGGAAATGTCTTTTTAAAATAAAAGATATGTTTTGTAATAATAGACTTAAAACTTTGTCTTGAAATAAAAGCTTAGTAGCATTTTCTTTGATTTTTAAAAAGAAAATAAGCAATGGTCAAGTTAGACACCTGTCAAAGGTCAATAGTTGAAGCTTGGGTAACACAGTTGGTTAGAGCATTGTCCTGATATACCAAGGTTTGGGGTTTGATCCCTGGTCAGGCTACACATAAGAATCAACCAAATGAATGAATAAGTTCAACAACGAATTGATGCCTGCACCCCCCCCCCCACACACACACACACATTGATAGATGATAATGATAGACCTGATGCACGCTAGCATATTCTGATGGAATCAATTTCTACTGAGCTGGTTGAAGCTGTGTGCAGTGGCTGCTTATTCCTTAAATGTCCATAGTAGAGAGCCAAGTAAAGCCAGGGACCAGAGCAGTGGGAGCCTAACAAGGTCCTCCTGGCCCTTGGAAACCCTGGCCATTCTCTGAAGCTAACTGGAGGGCAGAATGTAATAGTTGTTTTAAATATCTTTACGTGATAACAGCAGTAATCTTGGGATATTCAGTGCTAAGTAGTCCTAAGTGATTATGATTTTTATCAGAGCTATGGAAATGAAACCAATTTCCAACTTCAAATGGAGCCAAGGCACAGAACACTCATTATTGCTTCATCTAATAATGATTTTAGGGCTGTGTCAAATGTCTGTATCTCTCCTGAAGAAGCTACTTAGCAGGGTGCTAAGCACTCAGTGGGAATTTGGTAAATACTTGCTTACGAAATTACTTCTAAATCACCAAGTATTTACCACATGCCCATATCTCACAGTGTCGATCCTTTCCCTGGCAGGCAGCTCAAATGGTTCTGTGACAGCTAATCCAATGTGTGCCTTCAATCAAGGACTCCAGTTCATTGAGAGAATCAGCCCCGGTGCAACATCCAGATTCACAGCAGACTTCCTGATTCTGTACGCATTCATCCCCGCTCTTGTCCTCTTGGGAACAGTTGTTTTTAAAGCACGGGATCATCTCATCAGCAGATAGGAAAGCACATTGCTGCGAGAATGGAACTGAAGCTCTTAGAGGTGCCTGGCTGCGTGGAATATCTGAACTAAGAATGCCTCGTGTTTCTGTCTTGACAGCACATCTGAAGTCTTTTAAACCATTAAGACTCCTTTTGTGCCCTTGGATCCATGAATGCTATTCCAAGTTGAAGGGACATGTGGTATTTAGAAATTGTGACTAAACCAGTCCAAAATGTAAATAATAATACTTCGTAAAGTTATGGAGACTGTACTATTCCTTTGCTTTAGAGAGAAAAATAGGTTGGTTAAAAATTATGCTTGCATTTGCTAAAGGGTTCAGTAAAAAGAATCCTGAATAGTTGCTAAGTAGCAGAAAATGGGGTGGTTAAGACAAAGCATCATGCAGAATTGGGTAAGAATGCTTTCATTATCACTTAAAAACTCATAATGATGTGCACATGTCCACATGAGGGTTCCGAGTGACCTGATGACTTCGAGAGGATGGTGGGCAGATGCTGGGTGACAAAGACCACAGGTACAGAGCACTCAGTGATTTTACGGAGGGTTACAACGAGGAACTGCAGGAATGGCTGAACTGAGAACACAGCACATCAGGCACCCCTCTTGTAATATTTTTAAAGATTAGCTGGCTATTTTTCACTTCCGCTTAGTTTACTTATAAAATTAAAATGAAATATTACTACAGTGTTTGCACTGAGAAATGACATCGATAAGGTTGGGGAGCAGCTATTATTGAAAGTCCATGTAGACAAGCTCTCAACTGACAGCGCTTACTCTCAGAACAGGATTATGTGCTGGGAGTTCACGTCCTTGAACTGTAAAGAGAAAGAATGCTGATGAATACAAACACCTATATTGCATATTGTGAGGGATCAAATGTTGTACATAGATTGTATATAAGTGGTATATATGAAATGACTGATTATCTTTCTGATCGATTTTCAAGAAATTCGTGTATAAATCTGAAATAAAACTGTCTCAATGTTACCATGGTAACTCTGAGTGAGAATATTTTAGAGAGTACAAGAACTTGTTCATTTTCTATGACCTAACTTGTAAAGAATGATAAATTATAGCATTTGAAATGTCTCACATTATAGTAGAAAAGATCATTTCATTAAGGAAACCACAGTAAAATTCTATTTCTTAGAACAGTATTTAAGGATCTGGAGACATTGGTGAATTACCAGAATAGTATTGTCAATTTTTATAAAAGGTCTTTGACACTGATGATTATGGTGTAATAGTTACATAATGCCTCACAGATTATATATGTCACATCAATTATAGACAATTCTGGAGATGATAATCTATTAACGTAGTTCAAAGAGACTTCCACAGGAACCTCTTTAGAAATCACTGATTTCAACTTACTAAAGATATGGGTGCACAATGTAAGTGGAAACATTTTCCACTATTCATATGCAGATGAATTTCATCCTAGCTCTGAAACACTTGGAAAATTGACACAGCACGTGACTTCAAGCTATTAAATGCTAGCGATACCATCTCTGAGAAACACAATGACTTTCACTATGTGACAGTTTGTCTTAAGTCAAAAATGGACAGTGACATGTTAGAAAATCAAATTATATAATAAAAATTCCTATTACCATCATGGAATGAGCTGTTTCTTCCCACCAGTAGATGATGTTCCTGAGAGCACAACGTTCACTGTCAATTTAATTGGAGTCCTTTCTCCACAATACCCAGGCACAGCGCCTGTCAGCTCCTTCAGCTGAGGTTCCTTGGAGCCTGCAAACCCCGTTCCCCATATGCTAGAACCATGAGTACTGCAACTAGTTTAGGACATCTTATTTCATAACAATAATCAGGCAGCTTGCTGTTCACTCAGATGCCACTCTTCAGTCTTGGTGTTCTTGTGGTTAGTAGGTGTGCTTATTTGAAGCTGGGTGCATTGCATAGTAGAGTCAATATATTTTATAGTGGAAATGGAAAACACAGAGTGAGAGACCTTTCCTGATTAATAACAGCAATTATACTTACTCTGAATTGAATTTGGATAGCAGGTACGTGAACCTGTAAGATGGATGCTTCTTAAATGCTATTTTACCTTTAAAATAATCTTGGTTATTACCAAGTCATCAAGTGTTGTTCTATTTATTGACAACATCTTAAAACTGTCTGTTCTCTCAAAAGTTATACTTAATGTATGTCAGAATCACAGGAGGTGCTGATTAAATATGCAGTTTCCTGAACCCCATTCCAGACTCACTGACCCTGGATTTCTGGGTGTGGGGGCTCAGGAATGTGCATTTTAAATAAAAACCATGGGTGCTTTTTGTGCCTCACCATTAGAGTGACATTAGATGTTTGTGAAAGTGAACCCAATTCCAGTTTCCTACCAGCCACAGCTGAGAACTCCGTAGAGAAGAAGTGTGTCTAATATGAGCACTTAACCTTATTCATAACTGTTACTACATGCTTTTGCTTTCATATTCCTGAAAACACATAAGCACAAACTTATAAATGCTGAACCAAGGACATATTTACTTAACCAAGGTAGAGGTAGGTAACAGAAGACTCTCTATTTAAAAAAATACTATACATAGTTATATAATTTTTCCCCCTTTTCAAAGACTTACAAATATCCTGGGGTGGCATTAATATAAGAAATCCACTTTTCCTTTAGCAAATTATACATCTTAACTTTCCTTTTTTTTTATTGTTTAAAGTATCGATATTACATGTCTTAACTTTCATTTAATTACCACAACAACTAATTTATTAATGAGCTATTAATATTACTAGAGGCCCAGTGCATGAATTCATACACGGGTGGGGTCCATTGGCCTGACCAGCGATCGAGGCCATCTTGCCCAGTCCCAATCAGGGCCATTGGGAGCTGGCAGCCCAGGGAGGGACCACAGGAGGCCTCCACGGCATGTCCAGTTCTCTTGCCGAGTCACCATCGGCAGGACCCCAGCAGCAAGCTAACCCACTGGTCGAAGCGTCTGCCCCCTAGTGGTCAGTGTGCTTCATAGTAACTGGTCAAGCAGTTGTACACTTAGCATATTACATTTTTATTACATAGGATTTATTAATAACAACGAATTCATTAATGAGCCAATATCAATAAAATAATCTTACTTGTATTTGGGAAATAAATACACTGTAGCTGAATTAGGTTCAAGAATCCAGCTCAATTTGTTTCCAAGACTTGGAAGAACTCCTTTTGTACTGTTCCAGTTCCTAAAACAAAAATATACATTATAGTACTTTAAAAAATAAACTTTAACAATTAAACTAGGCATCTTAAAACTCCCTTAGCACTTTTAGATATAACAATGTATCCTTTACAGCTTTGTCATCCTCAAAAATTTTTGACAATTATTTTGTAAATGATTATACTTAGTAGTTATTTTTCTAGAATGTAGTCTTTGGAGTTTCTGGGTAGCATAAGCAGCACTCAGAACTGAATTTAATAAAGTGTCAGATAAAATTATATTCTATATAGTATATAAGTTCATTCAATTAATAAAGTATTTGTCATATATTAAGTATTAAAAAGTGACCTTATTGTTAATTGTTTGCTATTCAACTCTTGTCAAAAACTTGAAGTTAGCTAAGTATCAATATTTAAAATGTATAGATCTTTTAACCCACAATCCTGCCTGAAGAAATTTATCTATAGGATAGTATAGAAGGGTACAAGGATATAAGCAGAAAGATATTCACTGCACTGTGTATATTGACACACAATTGGGAGCAGTTTAGAGGTAACCTTTGGAGCAGCAGTCGCCAACTGGTGGTCTGCAGACACTGGTGGTCCGTGAGGTCCGAAAGGTTGGTGACCGCTGGTTTAGATGATCTCCCAGTAAAGACTGATTAAACACACCAGCACTCACCCACACGTGGCTTTACAGCCAGCCAGCAAAAAGGATGGCAGTCACATGTGAAAACAGCAAGTAGATAGAAGAACATTTCCATTTTCCATTATATATACTTGTATATCTTTGGAATTTTCTTCATAATGAGTATATGTTACTCTTTTTAAAATCGTGTTTTTCAATTATAATTTACATTCAATATTATTTTGTTTTAGTTTCAGGTGTACAGCACAGTGGTTAATTATATCCTTTGTGAAGTGATTCCCCCAATGTTTCCAGTGCCCACCTGGCACTATACATAGTTATTACAATACTAGAGGCCTGGTGCATGAATTTGTGCACCATTGGTGGTCCCTTGGCCTGGCCTGCAGGATCGGGCCAAAAACGGCTCTTTGACATCTCCTGAGGAGTCCCAGATTGCGATGAGAAAGCATAGGCCAGGCTGAAGGACCCCACCAGTGCATGATGGAGGCTGGGGAGGGATGCGGCAGTTGGCCAACTAGGGAGGGATCATGGGAGGGCTCCAGGGTGTGTCTGGCCTGTTTACTCAGTCCTGATCGGCCAGACCCCAGTAGCAAGCTAACCTACCAAAGTGTCTGCCCCTTGATGGTCAGTGTATGTCATAATGAGCAGTTGAGTAGCCTTAGCATATCATTAACATATTATGCTTTGATGAACAGATGACTGGATGACTGGACACTTAGCATATTAGGCTTTTATTATATAGGATTATTGACTAAATTCCATTTGTTGTACTTAACATCTTGAGACTATTTTGTAACTATTACAATTCACAAAATAAAAAATAAATTTAGTGGGAGTGAAAATCCTGTGTGAGACCATCAACATGCAAAAGGGACCATCTCTGGGAATGCCTCCTCCAAGCCTCTTGCCTGCTGTTCAATGTCTAATTGTACCAAGTAAAATATTATTTCAGATAAGCAAAAAGTGGTTACCTGCAAGATAAGGCAATCACTGCCCTTTGACTAACATAATTAAAGTTCATAGTTGCTATAAACAGAAAATCCTATTCTCATTATCAGAAAAATTGCAGACTGTCTCATTCATACCTATAGTCTAAGTCATTAAAATTTATACATTCAAACTTTCAAAACTGTATAAGACTGTGGAAGAGGTTTTATACTAATAACTCCAAAGAAGTCTTTACAGCATGCTTTATTTTTTCTAATGAAGTTAATTCAGCTCACTAGTTTGAACTTATAGTTCAAAGATTGTTAACTCATAAAATAAGCCACAATGATTATTGGGCATCACTTTGGGATTCTTGGCTAATAGTATGTCCCTTCTGCTGTCAGCAAACTTAGAAGAATGAGCTGTTCACACAGACCATGCCAGAGGGAGGATAAAGAATAACTCACTAGTATGACACAGAACTCACCATGTCCACTAGGTCCTTCAGTACTGCTATCATGTGAACTCAAAATAATGTGATAATGATATAAAGGAATAGCAAGTAAGAGGGTTTTCTTTACACTGCAATTCTTTTTAAAAAGTATTTTAAAATTGATTTTTATAGAGAGAGAAAGGGAGAAAGAAAGAAACATTGATGTGAGAGAGAAACATCCGGCATGCCCCTCACTGGGTAACAAAGGTACAAACAAGACATGTGCCCTGAATGGGAATGGAACCAGCAACCTTTTGGTGCACGGGACTGGCCAGGGCTAGTCCCTGTTTTTAAAAATCGACTTGCTTATAATCAGTAGGCCTATAGTTTACACACACACACGCACACACACACACTGATACATGTTTAGGAAGAATATAGAATTTAGTGAGGTAGCAGTGTGGTAGAAGAGTTGAGTGAAGAATGACATAGGACTGCTTTCCAGTTCCACTCAAAATTCTTATGGTTTTAGATCAGTTAGGGAAGATGGATTTGACTGAAAACTCATGATAGCAGAAATACCCCAGACCTTTAACAATACTATGTATATAAATGTAATAAAAGGTCATTATACAATATAAACAAATACTCTTATCAACAATGACAGTTAGTCATTGACTTCTAGGTAAATATTAATTTAGGGATGACTTCCAACTAATCTCTATAGCCAAGATATACACATAGTAAGAGTTACTCAAGGTCATTTTACTTTTCTTATAACATGCCCCTCACTTTTTGTAACTGAGGTATAATTGACATACAACATTATATAAATTTCGTGTATACATGATTCAATATTTGTATATATTGTGAGGTGATCACCACTATAAGTCAACATTTATCAATAAACAGTTACAGAATTTTTTCTTGTGATGAGAACTTTTAAAAAAAATATATTTTATTGATTTTTTACAGAGAGGAAGGGAGAGAGATAGAGAGCTAGAAACGTCGATGAGAGAGAAACATCGACCAGCCACCTCCTGCACACCCCCTTCCGGGGATGTGCCTGCAACCAATGTACATGCCCTTGGCCGGAATCGAACCTGGGACCTTTCAGTCCGCAGACCGACACTCTACCACTAAGCCAAACCGGTGATGAGAACTTTTAAGATCAACTCTCTTAGCAACTTTTCAATATGCAACACAATATTATTAACTATACTCACAAAGCTGTATATTGCTATGATTTATAACTGGAAGTTTTTACTTTTTTTACTCCCTTCACCCCTTTGGTCTATCACCTACTCCTCCTCTGGCAAGCACCAGTCTGTTCTCTGTCATCTACAAGCTCGGATTTTGTTGCTATTGTTTAGATTCCATATAAAAGGCAGATCATATGATACTTATCTTTCTCCGTCTGACCTATACCCTCAAGATACATCCATGTTGTCACAAATGGCAATATTTCCTTCTTTTTCATGGCTGAATAATATTCCTCTGCCTATGTGTGTGCTGTGTGTGTGTGTGTGTCTTTATCCATTCATCTGTCAATGATACTTAAGTTGTTTCCATGTCTTGGCTATTGTATAGTGCTGCAATGAACACGGGGGTACATATATCTTTTTGAATTAGTGTAACAATGTCAAGGAGCTTACTGACTATGTTGTTTCTAGGAGTTTTACAGTTTCAGGTCTTATAGTCAAGTCTTTAGTCTATTTTAAGTTGATTTTTCTGTATGGTGTAAGATAGTGATCCAGTTTCACTCCTTTGCATGTGGCTATCCAATCTTCCCAACATTATTTATTGAAGAGACTGTCCTTTCTCCCATTGTATATTCTTGGCTCCTCTGTCATAAAATAATTGACCATATATACATGGGTTTATTTGTCCCATCGATCTATGGGCCAGTCTTTATGCCAATACCACACTGTTTTAATTATTAAGTCTTTTTAATATAGTTAAAACCAGGAAGCATAGTGCCTCCAGCTGTGTTCTTTTTCAAGATTGCTTTGGCTATTCGGGGTCTTTGTAGTTCCATACAAATTTTAGTATTGTTTGATCTATTTCTGTGGAATATGCCATTGGAATTTTGATAGGGATTATAACATGCCTCTTATTTTACTACAGCTACAATCCCTCTAAATATTCATGACATACTTTTAAAAGTCTTCTGGACTATATATAAGTTCAATGTATTGCTTGATGCTGAGAAAAATACCCAGTGGATGGTAGTATTTAGGCTATCCTTGAAACAATGCCTAAGTTACACAGCTTTACAAATCCTGCCTGAGAGGTTGTTACGACATTCAATTTATAGTGTTTCTATACATAAGCTTACTTATTATACAAGGATTAGATTCCACATACTGTCTCACTTTATCAAACTAAAAGGTAATCCTGGGAAATATAAGTATTGGGCCAAAATTTACCAAGTTTTGCATCCTTACAACAGATTTGTGTATCATAAACAGTACTATCTTGGCATATGTGGAATGTAGTCCCCACTTTTAAGCACTTTCCTGAGAGATCCTGGATTTTGTCAGTTATGTTTGTGTGCTTTCAGATTAGGCAGTAGTTAATTTTTCTGGTACAAGAAAGCATAGGTATGTCTGAATGTCCTAATTAAAAAAAAAAAAAAGCTCTTTTATAATAAATAATCCCACAAACACAAGAATATAAAAATATTTCCCAGCAGCCAAGTAAGATTCACTAGCCATCAAACACTGGAAAATCCAAAAAGGATATGTAAACATTGTTATCTCTGGGTGGTAGAGTAATAAGTGATTTTTAATTCCTTCTTGATTCATATCAGACTTTTAATTTTTCTATAGTGGAGATGTATTATTTAAATACAAATAAAAAAAATTAAGTAAATAGAGAAAAATATATAGAAGTCTACAGGTATTTTTGTGGTAATTCAAAATGAAATGAAAGTTTAGGGTAATACCTGATCCTTCTGAATTCTCATTTCATCAACTTCACTTTCAGCATACTGAGGGTCCTTTGCAGGGTCCTTGATATCTTTTAGTGTGTCGGTACTCTGAAATTACAATGCTTCAAATCATTTCATGCCCATAACCCAAACCATCTGACTCATATCCACGTCCTTTCCTCAGCCAGCCATGTGGGTTCTCTATGATCTTTTATCACCACCACTGAGGGTCATTCAAATTCCACCAGGACCTTTTTCCTTCTTCTCCTTTCAGATGACTGTGTCTCCCTTGTCTAGTGGCCAGAGAGCTCTGCTTCCACGTGGAGCAAGAACTGTGTCATAACCCGCCTTTCAGCCCCCACAGTGTCTCATATACAACAGATTTTTATATGTGACTGTTTAATTTTTGAGCATGAGTTGAACACGAAGTTATCATAATAAACCCATTGGAATATTTCCCAATAACTGTTGAACAGTAGTGAAAATTCTTGCTTTAAAAGAACTAGAAATAGATACCTTTGGTGGAAAGAGCTTTTCATACACTTTTTTCCACAACTCCATTGGCGAACGGGCATGAAACTTTCCAATGTCATTATCAGGAACAGGAGGAGACCCTAAAATTGGAAGATTTGCTCCAAAAACTGCATTGATTAAAACATTCAAACTCTATCAATAAATGACACTAAAAACAGTATAAATCACCCACAATCTTGTCGCTAACCTCTGCTATTTACTAATCTTACCTTCATTTGTAAAACTCTCATTCTAAAAATTTTATATAGAGTCGTAATGTATATATACTTTTCTGATTGTCTCTTTACATTCAGTAAAACTCCATGGGAATACATTCAAATTCTGTATATCAGTAGTTGGTTCCTTTTTACTGGTGAGTAGTATTCTATGGTATAAATGTACCACAGTTTGTTTATTCACTCACCTGTTGAATGACATCTGGGTAGTTTCCAGTTTTTGGCTATTACAAATAAAGCTGCTATGAACATTCTTGTACTTAATTAAGGGGTACTTAATTAATACTGTGTTCTTTTTTATTTATTCTATTACTTGAATCTCTATTTTCATCATTGCCCATAATATATAGTTTTGAATTTCCTGACCACTCTATGTTCTTGGTTTTCTCCTAAATCCACGGAATTAAAATTTAAAATTACCTAGAAATAGGTGAGGGACAGGAAATACATGGAAACTTTTTAGCGGAATACAGATCAGAAGTCAGTCCCTCATGTGAAACATCCCTTCCATCACTAATATGTCAATGTGATGTACTGCAGCAATACTGTGTATACAAGTAAATAATAAGAAATTACAGCAATGAGAATGAAACCAGAAATGCTGGTATGCTGGAGAAGAAGTGAAAATGGAGTAGGATAAAATCAATAAGCAATTAAAAAAAAGATTGAACAAATTTAATAAGTTCACCAACCTATATTACTTAAAGAATCCAATCCTGCTGTGATAAACAGTGGTTTATTCTGATCCACACATATTGATTTGCTACATGGATAAAAAGAAAAAAGAATCTAATTTAGTTTAGCAATCAAATATCCTGCCACACTCTACTGTAAGTACAAGAAGCAAATTTTATATCCAGCCACTGGTGAAAGCACTGCCCCAAATGAGTGGATTAATATTTGTGTAAGTGATTTCAAAAATTAAAGTAGAGCATTAATGAAGGTTTTACAGAAGAAAAAAAGTGACAGACACAAATTACATTAAATCAAAACCAAAAAAAGTAGCATGGTTAAGAAAATTATGTACAAATATTGTTTATTCATTTATAATCAATTCAGAAAGTGATCATAGAAGGAAGGCTACTAAAATGAGGGAAAAGAAGTAAAAGAAATCAGGGAAGGGAATATAATAAAATCATTTTATTCTAGTGTCTAAGTATTCTCTAACATTTTAATTGTCAAACTGAGAAATATTTAAAGAATAGAAGAAGCAGGAGATCCAAGATGGCTGCGCCCAGGTGAACACCTAGCCGCAGCCGCACACAACAATTTCAATAAAATACAACTAAAATATAAAACGGACATTGCCCAGAACTAGAGGAAGGTTGACTGACTGGAAATTCTACAGTGAGAAGCAAGGAGAAAACCAGAAGGAGGTGTGGAGGAGCTGGAAAAGCCAAGGTACAGAGACGCGGTGCGCGGAGAGGACGGAGCCGTAGAGGAGGGAGGCCGAGTGCCTGGCGGACGTTCCCTAGCGGAAAGGAGATAAAACTCCGACTGTGCTGGGCCCCCGACTGCTCTGATCCCCAGTTTTAAGCCAGACCCCGGGGACTCAGGCTCAGCCATAGGGAGCCGGGCTGTAAGGCGGAACCCCGGGGAAGTGGCGAAAGGAGGTCCCAGCGGTGCGCACACTGCGCACAAAGAAGGGACGGTCGGCTGTGCCGCGGGATTGCCCTGACGGGAAGGAGACTGGGGCTCCAGACTGCTCTGAACGCCACCTCCAACTCCACTTCCAACTGAACTGAACCCCAATACCGGGCTCATTGGGGGAGAGCATAGACTGGCAGCAGGCGAAAATCGAGGGCACCTTTCTCTCAGAGGCCCCAGCAGCGAGCACTGACGGACCCACATAGGGCGGGGCTGACGGAAGCCAAAGCTGCAGGCTCCACCCTGAAACCCCGTCCCATCTGTAACTGCGAAATGCGACAACAAAATAGATCACAAACGAAAGAAATGGAGGACAAAAAGCATCTGGATATAGAGTTCAAATCTACGCTTATAAGGTTTTTCAAGAATTTCCTAGAAAAGATGGATAAGGCCTATGAGGATATGAAAAGAGATCAACTAGAATTAATAAGGAGTCAACAAGAAATAAAGAATACATTGTCTGAAATAAAAAATATTTTACAGAGTCCTAAAAACAGAAGGGAAGATCACAAGAATCAAGTCAAAGATTTGGAACATAAAGAGCCAGAAGACACTCCTCCACAGAAGCTAGAAGGCAAGAGAATCCAGAAAATTGAAGATAATGTAAGAAACCTCTGGGACAACTTCAAGCGAACCAACATCAGAATTATTGGGGTCCCAGAAGATGAGAGAAAGCAAGATATTGAAAACATACTGAAAGAAATAGTGACAGAAAACTTCCCCCACCTGGTGAAAGAATTAGACTTACAAGTCCAGGAAGCGCATAGAACCCCAAACAAAAGGAATCCAAAGAGGACCACACCGAGACACATCATTATTAAAATTCCAAGAGCAAAAGACAAAGAGAGAATATTAAAAGAAGCAAGAGCAAAGAAGGTAGTAATCTATAAAGGAGCACCTATACGATTGTCAGCTGACTTCTCAACAGAAACCATGCAGCCAGAAGGGAATGGCAAGAAATATTCAAGGTGATGAATAGCAAGAACCTACAGCCAAAAATAATCTACCCAGCCAAGCTATCACTCAGAATCGAAGGCCAGATAAAGAGCTTCACTAATAAAAAAATGCTAAAGGAGTTCATCACCGCCAAACCAGAATTATATGAATTGCTGAAGGGGGTTCTTTCAGAAGAGAAAGTAAACAAAGATAAAAATTATGAACAACAAATACGTAACTATCAACAAGTGAATCTAAAAACCAAGGAAATTAAAAAAATCTGATGAACAATATTAACTATTGAATATAATAGAATCAGAGGTATGGAAGGGGAGTGAACTGACGATTCTTGGGGAAAAGGGGAGAGAGGGGCGTGGGAAGAGACTGAACATAAACTGTGCACCTATGGATGAGGACAATGGGGAGAGGGGAAAGGGCAGAGGGTGGGGTGGGAACCTGGTGGAGGAGAGCAATGGTGGGGGGGAAAAAAAGGAACATTTGTAATAATATGAACAATAAAAACTTATAAAAAAAATAAATAAAAAAAAAGCAGAACTCAAAAAAAAAAAAAAAAAAGAATAGAAGAAGCAAAAGGTAATGTAAAATTATCTAAGAACAGACATCTGGGGCACTTTCCAGGTCAAGAAACAAAAGACTAGTGAGAATAATAGTCAGATGAAATAACATTGGCCAAAAATTCTATATAATAAAAGGCTACTATGCAAATTGTCCCTTGACTGGGAGTTAAACCAGAAGGCAGGACAAGCTGGCCAACTGTCCACTGCCCTTTACCTCCACTAGCCCTGCCCCTGATCAGCTCCTCCCACCTTGATTGGGGGCAACCCGCTGGCCAAGCACCCAAAGCCCCTGGCCCCGCCCCTGGCCCAGCCCAACTGATCCCCCCCATTGGGGATGGGGCCAGCCCACCAACCACCTACGGCCCCTCTCCCCAGACAGCCGGGACCCCACCCAAGCACAAATTTGTGCACCAGGCCTCTAATAATAAAAAGATATAAAAAAAATATTTTAACAGTACCTTTTGCCAATACCAAATGCTAACTGGTTGATAACTCCACGTATTTTTAGTAATAGAGCTTCTGATTTGCTTGTAAACTAAAAAAATTCAGAAGAATAAATTTTATACTCTGCTTTCAAATCACAGAAACAGGTAACATAGATATGGCTTTGAACCAGTACAGATTGCACAGTGAATTACTATTTATTTGCCCAACAAATACTTATGTTTAAAAAAGAAAAACAGAATAAAGGGGGGAAAAAGAGATGTGGATAAATTCATTTTAATGACTCTTTAAATTTCATGATTACATAATATTGAAAGAACCTGAATTTATGCACTAAAAATTTTAGCTACTCCCATGAATGGTTCATAGTTACTGTTAAAATGGAATCTGATTGGTTAAAAAACAGAAGGTATACATCACAAATAACATTTCCATCCAAGGACATATTATTGCCTTCAAGTAGTTAACATGGGAGCTACAGACCAGTCTAATAATACTGATATTCACTAAAACAAAATTTTAACTTCTCTTTTGAATTGCCTTTGGAGTTTCAAAATAAGCAACTGAATATTCTCAGTGGGGGTATGGTAACTAGGGTGACATAACCAGAACATTTTTGAGAATAAAAGTGAGTAAGTATTAATAATTAAGCTGAGATATCAGGTAAAAACCAGGACATATGGTAATCCTACAAATCTTTTAAGTCTAAATTTTATTTTTTAAAATACCCAAAGACACTAAGCCAAAATAATAATGACTAAGATGTGCGAAAGTAGGAACAACAACCTTGAACCAATGTGTTCTTTTTTAAACTTTAAAAAAATGCTGTTTGTTGCAAAGGTTAAAAAGTTGAACTCAGGAGTCCTGCTGGGTGGTTTGATATTTAGGGAAATCATTGACTAAATGTGTGATTTTGGACAAGTCATTTAAGTCTCAGTCTCCTCCATGGTAAAATGGACAGAACAGTACCTTCTTCGTAGGGTTAGGAGGATTAGAAGAGGGAATAATGTAAAATACTTAGCACAAGGCCTGGAACAAAGTATTACTCAAGAAATATTGGTTATTATAATTATTATTATCATTATCTATTTGATATCCTTCAATGCAATAAAATATAAAAGAAATTTTTATTTTAAAAGATACTTTTCCCCCTCCCCCTATGCCCCATTCATATGATCTCTTTTTTCTTCTTAATCAAAGCAAGAGGAACCTGGAGACAACATGGTCTAGTCCTTTTCTCTTAAGAGAATATAGATTTTAACTCTTAAGGGGAAGCGATAGATAGATAGATAGATAGATAGATAGATAGATAGATAGATAAGTAGATAGATAGATAGATAGATAGATAGATAGATAGATAATTTGTCTCTTTAAGATTGGGATTTATACATTTAAGTGATTCAGATCTTTTGCACCAAAGAAATGTCAGGCCATCTAGCAGTATGTTCTATGGATACATTATAAAACGAAGGTTTGGGGGCAATGATGTGCATTAGTAAAAGCATTAGTCTTCATGACTGTGCATGAAGTTGCTAATCTTTCCAAATTTGGTACTGTCCATTCAAGCCCAAAGGATAGAAAATGTACGAACCATTAATGATGCTCCATAATAATGTGCAACAAATCGAAGTGTCTTGCATATTACCTTTCTCTTCTCAGAGTCAAAATCCTAAAGAAATATGTTATTAAAATGAAAAATGACTTGAGAAAACTAAATGTCTGCAGCATGAAGATATAAATTATTCAGTGTAGATATAGATTATTTCTTAGTTCTTTGCTTATTTTTGAACACATCCTCAGGAGTAGGATTCCATTACCTTGGTATTTATTTCTATAGAGAGCTGAACAATAGCGGCAGCCTTCTGGAGCTACAGCTGTCAGATCTTCCCTTGTTTAAACACAGCTCAATAGAATTCAAAAATCAGCACACATTTCATAGTGTGGAATACCCTAAGGATTCTCTGACAAGCAAAGATAAAAAGAAACCAATTTTCTTCTTTCTTCAATTTAAAAGTTGGGAAGTAAGTCCTATCCCTTGGTGACCGAGTTCAAGATTCAGTTTCTAAATCTTCTACCTTATCCCCATTCCACTGTATTTGTTGTTCTTTACCTATTTTTGCTTTCCCAACTATATCCTCCTTTCTAAAATCTGTAAGATGTGTGACTCCTTGACCTTTCCCTCTGAGAGATACTTTCATATTTTACTATTACTTTTTTTAGAAAGTGTTTTAAAACATTTTATCACAGAATCCTATTTCCCCCCCCCCCAATATCACAGTGTTACCAATGAAGTTGATACTGGTGCTTATCAAAATATAAAGACAATCAATGTTTTATATAAAACCACTTTATATGTTAACTTATTCCCAACCTCCCACAATTTTCTTTTTCTTTTCTGGCCTGATTAAAAAAAAACACCTGTTACAAATATCTAAAACATCTTCAATTAGATGAGCATTCTTATAAATTGAAAAAGGGAATCTTATGAATAGACTATGCAAATCTATTATTACTTTGGTTCCTCTCCCATAAAGCATAGACATGTATGTAAAACAAACTCAACTAGAAGTAGATGAGCTTACCTGAAAAATATCATATTTACTTCCAATTATGACCAGAGGTATTGGAAATGGATCAATTAATTCACGATCCTGTTAGCAAACATATTTCATTGATTTACTATAATTAATTATTATTGTATATTCAGCAATTTCTATTTATTTCCAAAAAGATACCATTTTCAGTCTCTTCATAGATGTTGACCGTGCTTGCTTGACTTTAAAAGGTTGTTCCAATAATTATCCTTCACTCAATAAACTGTATATCTCAAATATAAAACTACAAGCAGAAATTCCCTAAATTACTAAAAGATTTATTCTTTTTGTGTGTTCTGCCTTTTTATTTTCTTATGTAACATGTCTTCTTCCTTTTTGTTTCTTGCTATTTTGTATTAACTATTTGTTGCAGTATCATTTATACTGCATACCTGGGAACCATAAGCTATCAGTTTTGTTTTGATATTACCTATGTAAAACACATTCATAAAAATTCTGGCCAATATAAAATCCTGCTCTTAATGTTGTAGATTATATTCAGATTGTATTTAAAGGACTTATGTTGTTCACCATTGCAACTCTATAATGTAATTACTTGTCAGGTGATAAATGTACTGATTGTGACACTGAAGAAATGTAAAATACAGAGTGACAGTAAAGGGTTAAACTCTCACCCTTGATTAAATTTGTAGCTTCCTTTAGTTTCTTGTCAGGTGATATTTGTACAGTTTGGTTCTTAATCTTCGTTTTATAAAGTCAATGTCAAACTACTACTTTAAAACAATTTCTTTAGATTGGTGTAATATGCCATAACAGTCACAGAAGATGTCTAAGAAGACATAAGAAATCTTTTTCCTTGATAAGTTCTTACTTAGGTTTTATAAAATTGCTATAACTTTCCAGTGAGCAGGTTCATCTATTGTACATCAAATGAATCCTAAGTCACGCATAAAAATCTAAAGAAGCTGTTGTGATGTTCGCTTTAACTGTGTATGGGCTTAGGTTCCAAGAATAATCCCAGCTGCAACTCACTGGATGGTCCTTCTGCATGTTACTCCGTATCTTCTGTCTCATCTCAGAAGCTGCTGTGGAATCTGTCTTTCCCAGTTTCATTATCACTTTATCCACATGGCTTTTTGTGGCTTGCAACAGATTTTCCATGGTGGACCAAAGGTCATTAGGCTTTGAAAGATCCAAAACAAGAACAATAGAAAATGTCCTAAAGAAATAAAAAAATCTCTCAAAAAAGATTCAAAATAATTACCATTGTGAAACCCTACTCTACTGAAAGTTATTATTTAAGGATAAGATAGCTTAAGAAAGAAAAACACATAGCACTTTTCTAAAACAAAAAAACAACACACACACACACAACAGCACCAAAGTTATAACCTTACTTATTTGAGTGCTTTTTTTTTTTTTAGCGATATGTAAGTGTTATAACTAACAGTTGGACTGGAGTTTGAACTAGTAATAATTTGGTTCAAATAATTTGCAAGCAATTGGGTCCAATCATGTATGTTTAGATCCAATTTTACTCTGTGTTCCAAAGAAGGGAAACTAAAATAATAATAACAGCAGCACAATAGTTAAAGGAGAAGAAAACAGATTTACTGGTGGACCTTGTTTTAAGCAAAAGAGAAATGAATTGTTCAATCTTTTCAAAGATTAAAATTTGTGTTTCCAATGCATTGGCAATACTTGTGTTACTTTTATCTTCATAGCAAATGACAGCTAAAAATATTAAAACAAAGCAAAAACAACACAACCTCCTAAAATAGAGAATCAGGCCACAGGAGATGCTCTCTTACAATTTATCTAAAGTCTGTTGAAACGTTCAATGCATCTGTAATTATTTTATGAATGGTCATTTTAAAGACAAACAATTCTAATAGCAGCTGGAAATTTTATTTTCTCCAGTTGCTGGGTTATGTCCAATAAAAAAAAATCACGTGGCAAATTAATTCCAGTCACAAAACACTCTGAGATTTGCAAGTACATGAGGAGTGAAATGTTTTCCATGAACTCTTTAACCACTCAGCAACCTACTTTGGACCTATGCCTATGGCTCCCCTTCCGTGTTTTCATAACCTTGACCCTTCCTCTCTCCTAAAGCAGGGCCCAGCTGCTGTGGGGTTCCTGGGAAAGGAAGAGCAAGAACTCACCAGGTCAGGTATTAAAGAAGCTGTGGAAAGCTTTGGCTTCTTACAGAATCAGAATTTCCAAAAGCCCATCGGGCCCAAACCCTGTTAGGCCCAGAAATGGCGAGTGAGGCAATGTAACAAGGTAATGCGACAGTGAGGGTCAGACCTGCAGCCTGCTCACAACCCTGCGAGGGCCCAACTCCTTTCACCTCAGGCCACACTAACTGGCAGCTCAGGTTCCTTTGGCTCTGCCTACCCTCGCCAGCTCTTCTCTACTACAGCTCTTCCCTGCCTCGCTACCCTAACTCCCAGGCAGCTTCATTTTCTCTGTTAAAGGGGGACAAACAGGAAACTAGATAGCAGTAAAATTCCATGTTCCTGAAGAGTGAAGTCATGGGGAAAGGGTGGTTATAAGTGAGAAAGCAAAATCTAAATGTGCATAAAAACATCTAAATTCTGTACAAAATATATTTACAAACACTGGAAACACTGAAAGAAATACCTTAGCATTGCTAATAGTGATTATTCTCTTATGTGATTACTAGCAAAAGGAAAAAAACTCAGGGCAGAGATAGCTCACACTTGGATGGGTACTTTAAAGAATTAAGCCTTTCAAATTTATTTTTACAAAGTGAATTCATTGCCCGAGCATTTTTTGACATGTTTTTGTTTGTTTGCACGCTTGCAAAATATGTTACTAGGTGGAATGCCAGCTCTCTCGTTTCAGCAAAGGCAGAGCCTTAGTTCTTTGAAGCATTACAGTTAAAGCACATAGAAAGGAAGTTGAGCATAAGCCTTCAGCAACATACTAATAGTAAAACTGTCCCCCAAAATTCTAATTCACAAAAGTCTACTCATTCCCACGGGCAGGACTGACTGGGTGCTTACTAACTACGGTCCCTGGAGCTGGCTCACTTACCTTAAGGTGTCACTTGTGATCGGTATGCTGATTAAGTCCAATAAAGAGGTCCCTCCACCCAGTTCCCAAAAGTGAGCAATATCTTTTGGCTGAAAACAAAAACAAACAAAAACAGGTGTTTTTTCTTCAAATTAAATTAAAATAATTTTTTTAAATGCTTATACTTCATTAGCACCAGTCAGTAATAATTATGGATACAAAATACTGTAATCCACCATCACTCTTTCTTGGCAGTCAAAACTTTCCTCTTTCTCTATCCCATCCCTCAAAATGCAACAAAACATGTATTCCAAAGAATAAAGATGAAGCATTAAGAATATATATGTATACATATAGTAAATGCCTTAATTCTAGTAATTCCTTAATAGAAGACATAAACAGTGCCCTGATTCTGTAAATAGCACATGTAGCAGACACTCAAATGTGATATAAAAATAAGTAGCTGAAAACATTTGGTATTATCTTTTTGAAAAACAGTTATGGTTCTAGATAGAAATAAAATCATTGAATAAGAAAACATCCTGGTATAGGGATGGAAAAGCTCACAAAATCAATTAGAAATACAGGTAGGGCATGGGGAAATGGGACAGACAGATGGCAGTCCCTGATGCAGACCAGGGTTACCTGAGCAAGGATCTGTGCCTCATGCCCCTGGGGTATCTGACAGGCAGGCTCAGTGGTAATAAACAGCTGCTTCCCTTTCTATAGGACTCTTAAATATGAGTGGATAGAAGGGCTAGGCAGCCAATTAGCTTGCAAACAAGACCGTGACAAGCTCCCTAGACTGCTAGCCACTGACATCTCCGCTTCCGGCCTGACGCTGAGTCGCCTTCAGGGTACCAACCCTGTGAGGAGCTGACCAAGGGCTTCAGGTAGAACACTCAGGGAACATTACATTTAGAAAACATGAATCTTCTATTATAGAATGAATATGGACAAGCTCAACTTGATAGCATAATGTTTAGAGGGAAAAAATAGGTGAAAAAGAATCACATGGGTTTTTAATGTATCTGTTAACCATGAACTTGGAAGAGACAGATGGTCATTAAAGCAAGTTTTAGATGAATATATATATTTGACAAATCACCACCTCATCATCACTAAAATTGTTTTTTTGCTGTTGATATCTGAATTATTAACGCTTGTGGGGGAAGTAATTTTGTCATTTTGAAATGTCAACTGATTTACAATTTGATGAAAGGACTTTTTAGAGCTCTCTCAAAAGTTAAGATTATGTAAATTGTCTCAGAGTTTCCATTTCTAAGTTAATCACTCATGTCAATGCTCATGTAAGTAACAAAAATAAAGTTCTCCTGTATCTTAATATCTTATTTTTTCTTTTCTTTTTAATTTCAGTTTTAATAACCAACTCTCATTGCTGAATTCAGGAAGAAGCATCAGGCAGTTTTAACTCTTTACACACTGTCTAATGATCAAAGTTTGGACTAAGTCAATCTATAAGAATTTGCCTGTGCTACAGAAGTGGGACCATCTATTCTAGATTGTTCTTCCATATAGTTAACTTTATTTAAGAAATGGCCTCTTTTCATGTGAGGACTCCAAAAATGCTATAAAATCTCCCTCTATCCTGAATAATTTCTAATCTTCCTTTGAAGCGACATTAAAACAAGTGAAAACAGGATTATAACCAATTAGCGCCTGCAGTCTAAAATAGTTTTACCAACTTCAGGATATATTTGCTGGTAATTTGCTTTTTGAGCAGTATATTTTCATAAATATTCCACAGGTCAAACATATTTTTAGAAGATTTTTTGGGGAGACAAGAGAACATAACTCTCATATTCTCATTTGAAGAAGAAAAATCACATTAATACAATTAATAAATTATGCCCCAAAATCATACAATAAAGTTACAAAGGAATCTTATGCTACCATTATAAGACACAACAAATGAGAAGGCTAGGATATTTTCAGTTTGGGTTAGCTTCATATCTGCTGAGTTGCATTTGAAGTTTAAAAGTACATAGCCATGAAGTATAGCCTGATATATTTATTGATTATAGGTCATGTGGAAAATGTAAAACCAAGTCAGCATCATTACTTCTCCATCTGTGGGCATAGCAATACCACTTAAAAAGACACTCACTGTGTTATGGCCTTTAGCTTTTCTTCCATACGTATATTCCAAGGCTAAGGTTGGTTTTGGTGGCTCATCCCTGTACAATAAAGATAGTATTACCATTATTTCCTTATGCTATCATCTACTCAGTAAGTTTTTGCTTCCCCATAAAACATTAATCTACTAGTGGAGAAGTCACTTTGTATAGCAGCATTGAGGTAGAAATTATTTTAATCAATATCAATAAGCCTTCAAAACACCATCCTGATGGATTTAGTGGCAGCTGCAGAGTGAGTAACAGTGCCTGCATGACCTGGTGGCCCCACAGATGCTGCTGGGCAAGCAGAGGAGGCGGTGGGGCTGGCAGTGCTGATGGCTGTCAGGGCACAGGCTCTCTGCATCCAGGCAGGGGGAGAGCACTGGCATCAGGGTCATGCTCAGCCTTGCTCTGGGGAGCAGGAACTAATGACTATCAACTTAATGAAGACATCAGTGGAGACTTAAATAAAGTTCTCTATCTCTATCCCAGCTCAAATGAGAACATCATTTACCTACTGAGAGCTACAAACAAATGATATTAGTGACTCCTAAACATCGACAAATGATTTGAAACATTCCTGCATGTATCTTTTTTCATATATATATATATATATATTTCAAAATGAGCAACTGAATATTCTCAGTGGTGGTATGGTAATTAGGGTGACATAACCAGAGCATTTGTATCCATGAGTAATTTAAAAATTATGACTAACATTCAAATAATCATGGACTAGATAGAATAAAAACAATTAACATACCACAGTAATATAGCCAAAAAGAAAGTACTAGCATAGGCTGTGTAGTCATGTTAATTTCTCCACAAATAGGGAAATCCAATATTAATGTTGGATTTAATTTTTTTTTAGTTACTGTTGATTTTACTTTTCAAAGAAGGCCTTAAAGACCATACTAAGGGTCTACTGAGAATTATTTTGTTTGTGCCTCAAAATTGTTTTCCTTCCATATGTCTTTTAGGATCTAACTTGCCTTATGCAACCAGAATAAGCAAAAAATGTAGTCTAAACGTTAACAACACTTACCTGTCAAGAGATCTTAGAATAATAGTAGTCTTGCCCTAGAAATTTAAAAACACAATACTGTGTTAATGTCATCCACATGTAAAATTTTACTATTGTTCATAGTTGTGGCCCAAAATAGCTTTTTAATTACTTAAATGATAAATTACCTGGAAACTAGAAACTTTCAGAATTGTTCCCAAGTTTGATAAGTGGAAAAAGTTAACTGTCAACTTTCCATCACAGTGTAACTACACTGCTATTATTATAATTACAAAGTCTCTTGGATGACAAATACTAGCAAATCATACCTCACTTTAGTGGTCAACTTGTCAGCTTTCTTAAATTTTCTCTTTACTCATCAATGCTAATTACTGGTTAAGCTGATGATTAGTGTCTTCTAAAATGTTTGAATTCTAATTGTTGAGGTGGAAATAAAGAAAAAAGATAACATACAAATAAAGGACATGTTGTAAATATGTTCAAAGTAAGCAATCCAGATACTTGGTTAGAGTATTTTTTGTTTTATTTCTAGAGGATATACTTATTCTAAGTATTTTTTAGTACCACATACATAAATTATTTTAATATAATTAAAAAATACAAAAGATTGTAAAAAAGGGCCCAATCTTATAAAATTAAGGACAAAACCAATAGCATAAACGAAAGACTCTCAGATCTCAAGCTCAACCTTAGTGAATAGGGTTACTATATGATTACTAAATTTTTCTCTTTTTTCTTTATTTCTTCCCCATCACCATTTAAACTTTCCTATACATTAAAACCAAAACTCAGCATCTGGAAAAAGAGAAACTGGCAGACTTGCTCTAGTTTATTATAATGAAACAAAACCTCAAAATTTCTGTAGCATCCTGAGACTTACACATGAGAATAATTCCATCTAAGAGTTACTGAGATCATGACAGATAGAGAATCCATGACTGACACAGAGTCCATGACACAAAAGATACAGCTGAATGAAATGAAGATAAAACTGAAACAGATACTTGGGGAGACATGTGGGTTGCCATTAACTATTTGACGAGCCATTTTATAACATTTGAAGATTTAGCAAATAGAAGAGGAATTCGATTTAGTCACATAGTCTTATGGGTCAGAATTAGGACCAAGGGGTGCACGTTACAAACTGAAGTTTTCTAATGACTAGGAGTTAACAAAAATCAAAACAGGCTACAGCTGTGGAAGAGAACTCCCCCATGTTCAAACTGGAGATGTTCAAACGCTAAAACCACTGTTTGCAGTAGCCCTTAACCTCTTAGGGAGGTGCTAGAATGCTGGGATATTCTAATTTCCCAGAAAAATGCACTGATGCACAATCACACAATTTTGCATACTTTTCTAGGGAGTTCACTGGCCCCAAGAAGTACCTTTATGGTCCCAAGGTTAAGCCTCCCTATTGTAGAAAATAGAATATCTCCAAGTTTCCTTCAACTTCTGTGACCCCAGTTAAGTGAAGATTAACTATACCAAACCTGTATGGTTCATGTTCGTGTTATCTATATGCTTAATGCCATTGTACAAGTGGTCATCAGGTTAGCATTTAGGGTGCCTTTGTGCAAATTGGGAAGAAATGGCTCATCTGGACAGTCTAATTAGAAATAAGTGTCCCTTCCTCCAAGCTGCTGTGGCCCACGTCATGGGACACCAATGGCAAGTGTTCGGGCAAGTGTGAATACCCACTCACCCATAAGGAGGACACCCTCATACAGGGCATAACCAGCTCCAATGTAATCAGCAGGTCAGAGACTCATTGGATGGTTCAAGAGTTAAAGTATCCACATTTTTAATCAAAGTATTAACATAAATTTTACCGCTAATTGTTCAATCAACACAATACTTGGGAAAAATTGGGAAACGTTACCCCATTTTTACTGCCAAGGAAGAAAACAGATTTTTCTCCAATTTCAACTCCATCACCTTCACTTCCGTTACTTTCCCGTTTTTCCACTTCAGCTTTTGCGATTTCCCAGAGCGTTTCACTAAATGAGAGGCAGAAAAAATTCAGAGAAGCAAGAAGACTCCTTTCCAGTATTTATTTCAAGCTCAGAGACTTTTATTTCAGTCAAATTTATAGATCGAGTCAACATTATTTTCTGGAGGACAATAAACTGGTAAAACTGCCGAGGATTCGTTCTTTTCTTTGTACTGGTTCCTCAAAGGAAGCTGAACATGCTATGCAGAGCCTTTCGCACCAGACTTGGAGGGTTTCCATTCTGGGGCTTGGCTTCCAGGCAAGGCCGAAAGCTGTTATGTGTTAGCTTCTCAGACACATACGAATATCCAACTTTGGGAATTATACAACTTGAAAAACAGCATCTAGGAAAATGGGGGAAGGTGTAAACTAGTATTCCAAATAATCTCTGCTCCCTCAACTATTCCTGTTTTTTAAATTATATTTTTAGCTCAGGATTCCCTTATTTTTAATACAGAAAATATGAAGGGAAAAAATCACCCAAAATCACATTTTGAAAATCATTCATTCATATCTCTACACACATATATAATTTTACATAAATACGATTACAACATTTTTTAAATTAAAGCTTAATATGGAAAGTGGCATATTGAACTAAAAAGAATGAGCAAGATCTGATGTGTTGTAAGCCTGAATCTGCTATATTCTACATATGCCAGCTTAGGTAAATTAGCAGACTTCTCTGGATCCTTCATTCGTATACTAGTTCAACAAACACTTATTGGGCACCTAATATTTGCAGGTTTCTGTGCTGGTCCCCAGGCTCACCTGTTTCTTCTTCTCTAACATGCTAATAAAAAAGAATACCAATCTTATAAGATTGTCATGATCGATTATTAAGATGTGTCATTTAGTTTAGGGCTTGGCCTATATATAATTACTACGAGATTATAATTGTTATCCAAGGAGCAAACACAGGTGTCCCTAAATGTCTGCACTAAAATTCACACATTGATTCCACAGGTGAGCCCCCTGGAACTCAGCCCAGGCCTGACTGCTCTTTATGGACATGCCCTTATCTCAGAGCGTGATTATTTGCTTTCCAGCTTCCCAAAGAGAGGGGAGAAGGAGATGCTGCAACCAGTTTTGCCGCTGGTGGAAATTTATATCTGTAGCCAGGACTTTAAAATCGTTAACCAATGACACATTTACTGGGAAACTGACGAATTTTCACACAAGATTCACAGCCTCCACGGAGACCGCACTGCCAACCCACAAGGTGAGAAAACCAGATTTACGCTGCTCTGTGGTCCAGTCTCCTGCACGTCCTTATAAATTGTTCAGAGGAGGTTTAGGGGTGGCCTTCAGAACAGACACTTAAAACTGGCACAAAAGAATTGAAGAGCTATCATGTAGCCCTAACCAGTTTGGCTCAGTGGATAGAGCATCAGCCTTGGGACTGAAGGGTCCAGGTTCGATTCTGGTCAAGGGCATGTACTTTGGTTGCAGGCACATCCCCAGTAGGGGGTGTGCAGGAGGCAGCTGGATGATGTTTCTAACTCTCTAGCCTTCCTTCCTCTCTGTAAAAAATCAATTATATATATATAATTTACCACCGCAGGAACCCCTGCTCCCAGGGCATTCCCTGGCCTGCAAGAAACTTTCATGGAGTCAGTGCATGGATGGAGTTGTATGTTTCAAAATCTCTTCCTTTCCACCTGGGGAACTTTGGGCAGAATCCACACGCGCAAGCGCAGTTCCTACGGGTCCCTGACCCTCCAGGCACGGGCTGCAAACAGGACGGACCTACAATTCTCCCCCACTAACTGGTCCCGCGTGGCTTCCCTCCCAAAATACAACCCCAGCGGCCTCTCCCTCCCCATCCCTCCCGCGCTAGGGTGGGAAGAGGGGAGGCTGTGGAGGGGGGCGTAAGCCTGGCGCAGGCAGGGACGCGGGGATACCTGGGCATGATGGCTCTGCAGGCCCGGGTCCGAGCTCCGCGGGGGGCCCGGTTTAGAAATTAGACCGCAAACTCCGAGGTGGGCCGCGGCGAGCAGGCTCCTCGGTTGCCATGGGAGCGACGTCACGGGCTGGGTTGCGTGCAGAAGAAGGGCTTTATGGGAAATGTAGTTCTCAGTGTTCTTTTTGCAGTCTCCAAGCTCAGCCTCATCTCCCAGAATGTGCAAGAACGAAGTGACACGAGGTACCAAACCCTTTGATCTAAAAGTTCTCGGCTGGAAGTGTTATTTCATTTAAAAAAAAAAAAATTCTATTGAGTAACGAATATATGCCAGGATTCTTTCTTCTGTTTCTCTTCTCTTCTCTTCTCTTCTCTTCTCTTCTCTTCTCTTCTCTTCTCTTCTCTTCTCTTCTCTTCTCTTCTCTTCTCTTCTCTTCTCTTCTCTTCTCTTCTCTTCTCTTCTCTTCTCTTCTCTTCTCTTCTTTCTCTTTTCCCTTTTAAATCTCCCCTTCCTTCTTCCCTTACATCTCTCTCTCCTCCTTCCCTTCCACTCTCTAGAAATCTCCCAAGCTATTTTCTAGTGATTTACTAGCGGCAAAGAATATTGCGATTTTTGTATTTCCCAACTTTCTGCTTATTTAGTTTCAGGTTTTACGCAACAACACATTATTTATTAATAAGTTAATAACGTCAATGCATTCCACAATATTTCATTTACTTTACCTTCAAATCAATAATAAATATTGAGTTATCATTATATGCAAAACTGTGTGATGCACAGAGTAAGAAATGAAGCAATGAATAATGTAAGATCCGTACCCTTGAGAAAGATATACAATAGTAAAATATAATAACCCAAAGGAAGCCAGTGATATAAACTATTGCAGAGGTCCCCAAAATTACATAAGAATAAGTGACTATGCCCAGTGCCATTGGTGGAACATTCATGGCAGTGGCAGCAGTTGATCTGCCTTGAATGCTGAGTAGATGCAGGCTTTGCAGCTCAAAATGTCCTGGATATTTGAAGGAGATACTCTCCCTGCAACATCTGCCACTGGCTTGGTTTCTATGGTGTAATGTTCAGGAACATGGACCTTAAAGTAAAATAGACTTAGATATAAATCCTGACTCAGTCACACTGTGAACATTTGTGTCTTGTTTTGGAGTTATTTGCTCCAATAAAGCTATTGCCTTAGTAAGATTTATTGTTTCTTGCCTATTACTGGATCCCAAAATACTTCAAGCATACAATGAAGATTTTTGGATTGATGTAAATTATAAATATGCCTTCAGAATCATTGGGATTGTTCGACTTAGGTAAAATTATAATATGAAGCCAGTGCTTATCTCATCTCCTCACCCAGCCTCTGCTGAGGCCCATGCAACTCCTCACTGTAGGACTGACCTTCCCACTTTCCCACTTAAATGCCCAAGAAAAGCCCGAGGTTTGGGTCCCCTGAAATATGGATGAGTCTCACTTTACTCTAAATATCCATGTGTGGACTTTACATTAATTTGGAGTTTAAAATTACGCAGCAGTAAAACCCCTTTCTTCTTTTAGGGAAAAGGGAATAGGGGAGAAACGTGAGAGGAGATGCAATTTGTATGTGAGCCATGTGGCAGAGAAACTTCTCTTCTGTTACTTCTGTTCCCCATCCCCCTTTTTCAGTCCCTACAATCCTGAAGCCTTGGCTCCACAGACATGAGCCCAGACACTGCACTGAGGGAGTCCAAGTTCCCTCCAGCTCAGGGGCAGGAGACTGGGAGAAATGTGTTCTTGGCATCCCAGGAACATGGACAACCTTTTTCTGGAGAAATATGGTTACCCACAGTGGTTAGTGCTTCAGGATTACGTTGGGAGCCATCAGAGTTGAGACAAGCAACTCAGTCTTAAGAAAATAGAATTAAGTTCCTTCTAGCAGAAGTTATGTGGTGCCCTGAGGGTTTGGCCAGAAGATAAGATTAACCTGCCGCTTAGCATCTTTGCAATTTCCCCTTCCTGATCCTCCCCCCCTAGATAGCCCAGCCTTGGAATGTCACACCTTGGAATGTTTCCGCTGCCCTGGCAGTTAGCCAATCCTGTGTTGCCAGATACCTTACCACCTTGCCACTCAATGCCTAAACCAATTGTACACTGCCAAAGACCCCTCTGCATAGGCAATCCTGCCCCCCTTTGTTTCTGCTGTATATATACAGCCATTTCAAAGAATAAAGTTGAGGCTTGATCAGAACCTTGTCTTGCCTCCATTCTTCCGCGTTCCTTGTTTGTTTCATTCTCTTAGGTGGTTCCTGCGTACCCCCGTTGTTGCCCAGGGGTCGGGACAGGATTATACTTCAGTAAAATTATGGGTTAAATATCTTGTTCCATTTTAAAAAATATATATATTTTATTGATTTTGTACAGAGAGGAAGGGAGAGAGATACAGAGTTAGAAACATCAATGAGAATCATTGATCAGCTGCCTCTTGCACACCCCCTACTGGGGATATGCCTGCAACCAAGGTACATGCCCTTGACTGAAATTGAACCCAGGTCCCTTCAGTCCCCAAGCCGACACTCTATCCATTGAGCCAAACTGGTTTCGGCCATTTTTTCCTTTTTCTGTTAAAAAAACTCCAACCAACCAACTAATATACACAATTTTAGAACAAAGATTCTGTAAGTTGTGACTAACTTTTCTTGTAAATGGAGAGTTAAATTCATTTCCAACCTCTGGCAGTATTTGACTTTAAGGACACACACACACAAACACACACACACACACCCAGAACCCTTAAAAATAAATTTTGAGAAAACAGTCCATTCAACTTATCTTTATGCAATAGGCTCCCTTAAGGGGTTAATATGAAATCATGGGAGAAGCCCATGATTTATACATATTGTATACGTGTCAATATGTATGCACATGAATTAAAATTATAGCTTCCTTTTATATGGATAAAACAAAGCAACACTGAAGACAAAGCGTGAATACAAGAGAAAAAGGTAATAACTACCATTTTCATTATGAGTAGACCTCAGTTTTGACAATGAAAACATTAGCTACTTCTTTAAGATTATTCAAAAAATAATGCTCAACATGGGTTTTGTAAGTCATTTATTATGATTGAAAGGTAAGAAAATGATAGGAGAACACATATTATAATTAAACATGGAGCATTATTCTCTTGTAGCCAATCATAATAACATAGTTTTAATTTTTAAATGTCTATATAAGTAATTTCCCAGAAAATGAAAATTTCACATCATCAGTTACAGAAAATTGACTTCTTTCCATCAAAATATTTTCTCTCTACTCTATCAAAAATTAATACTGAGTCCAGGGTACTAAGGTTTACGCTAAGCCTTCACCACTTGTTTAAATGAGAAGATTTAGGGTTGCTTACCAAATGGTGAACTAACTATTGCCTGGGAATAAAGTTCTCACACATATTTAACAGCTCTGCCAAGCCTCTGGCTCACCAAACTAATGATTTTTAAATGGTTTTCTGGGAACTTAAAAACTCTATTGTATCCCAGCCAAAAAGCCTCATGAGAGTCATCCCAAACTTGTAACCAGTTTATTCTCTAAAAGTAAGTGGTTGTGGTTCAAAAGTGAGGGGGAATAGTAAATGGAAATCTCTTTCTATGGTTTGTTGTTCTTGCTGTTCTTGTTTGGTCATTTCCAATAACGCAACATCTTACTTAAGCAGCACATATCTTGGCTCTGTCCTTTCTTAGGGATGCTAGTATGGGATGGCACATTTGTAAAAGGCTTAGTGTGAGAATAGTGTACTGCCACAGGGAGGACACAGCAATGAAGAAATCATGGAGGTTCTGCCAACAAATTAATTCAAGCAGCTAACGTTTTCTTTTATTGGTTAATAAAAATACCATACACAAAGTGATAAATATGTCAAAAAATAAATACAAATATTCTACACATAAATAAAATTAAGTATCCTGATTACCATCGCAATTGAACATCTTATAATTTTCATGTCTTATCACAGTTTCATATTTATCAAGAATACTCATTACTATGTCCTGACACATACTACAATGTACTGACCATTTATGTAACCTAGTAAAAGAATATATTTCTAGGCTCTTTCAAATGAAATTTCACCTCCTTTGACAGAAATATTACTTTCTCTTTTCTTATAAATACATTTTTGGGAACTTATTTGCAAACTACAATGAAAAAGGACCATATGAGGCAAAAACTGAAGAACTGTCTTTGTTTCCAAAAATATTATTATCTAGCAAAGCAAGGTCAAGATGGCCCAGCACCCAATGCAATGGAATGCGGGCAATAGTCCGGTAAACTCAGGCTCTGTTGACAACCAAGGAATGTCAGGAATCGCTGTCTCCTTTTAAATTTTATGCTCTGGTGATCTGAAAAGCTGACGGTGTATACTTCCTAACATCACACAGGAAGTTCTGGCTACCTAACTCCTGTTTTCTCACACAGTGATTCATCGGGCCAGAGATTTACTGAACTTGCTCTGAAAATTTACACATAAACACCATCCTGCAGCTGTTTCTTACACTGTGCACTCCACTTCTTTCCAAACACATTAATTAAAATACATGTAATTACATGTACTTAGTTTTTTTTGGCATTATTTCCAAATATTCAACTGGTTTGCCAAATGAGAGTTTGGAATCTCCCTTTCTAAAGATTGCCAGAGTATTTTTTAAAAGAAGAAGAAGAAGAAGAAAAAACTCCCCCACCATATTGCATGATGTGTCTGATATAGCAAGGGAGAAGGGAGATAGAAAAAAATTACAAATTCTAATCCATTTAAAATACATGTACAAATTTCCAGGAGAAATTTGTGTGCGAATTTTGTGTTTTATGTGTTATTAGTATTCATTTGACTATTTATGAATAAAACAAATAATCCCCATTATTTTTAAAATCTGGAATATAAATATGTGGGTGCCATGTTGCCAGGATGTAAATAAACTTATTTGGAGCGGATGCAGCCACTGCTTAGAGGGCAGAGAGTGAATGTTCAGGCGCCTCCCCCGCAACCCCTCACTTTCAGAGTAAGGTGGGGCCTATGGTTGGTCTGCTGCTTGAGAGAAGGGGCTGGCTTCCCATCGTCCTGGCTTGGGGCCCCTGGTTCCTGGCTGAGAGCAGCGCTGGAGCAGAGAGGTG